CTGCACCATTTAAAGGACTTGGGCGTATTCACTAAGCTCTAGGGTACATAAATGTGTAGCGTATTACACTTTATACGTCGTCATTAATAAATTTGGTTTTGCTTCGTCGTATTTGAAGGAGCCTTGAGAGAAGAGGCAGGTTGACAGATCTAATTACTAATCATTAATCAGAGAAGCAAATGAGGAAATGTTTAAAAAAATCGAACAAACAATAAGAAAGTTATGAGTTTTTTAAGTTGTGATTGTTATCACTAGCATGAAGAATCATTGCGTGGCAAATGAAGCGAACAAACGGTAGCGAAAGTTAACATGTGCAAATTCAGTAAAAACGAAACAACTTCAGCGATAACAAAATATCTATTGTACTTTATTACATTTGCAAGTAACAGACCTGATAATTACCCGATTAAAATTGGTTTCCTGATTTTACCCCTTTTTTCCCCAGATTTTTCCCTTGCATGTATTTACCCTATTATTCCCAATTTTCCCCAATTTTCTTACTCAAAAGGGGGGGGGGGGGAATTTTTGTTAGATGCCATTTCTTTTCAACTTATTAGGTGGTCTGTTAACAACAGACCACCTATTGATTTCGTCAGAATTTTCTTTCTTCTTTATTATTATTATTATTATTATTTATTTATTTTTATTTATTTCTTCACTTTTTTGTGTGTCGGATAACGTAAGATTGGTTATGTCAATTTGATTCAATTTTGGCACAGTCATAGGTCATTATCATGAGACGTGACAGAAACATTTTTAAGGTCATTAGGTTATCGTGACGTCATCCAGGCGCCATTTTGTGAAATCACGTTATCCATCATATCTTCATGGTGCATCAGCAAAGGTCATTCATATTCATATCACATATACTTTAGGTCAAGGGTCAACAGGTCATGTCATCAAAGGTCACATAAAGGTCATGACGCGCGCGTATGTGCGCGTCAAAATTTAAAATTGCTCAAAATTACTAAACTATTAAACGAGAGTACGAATCAGGTCATTTTAAGCATTTCAAAATTTTCCGACCGTAAGTGTCCCCGCGCGCGGTGTGCGCGCTCACAGCGCGCGGAAAAGGTCAAATTCAAAATGTTTACATGATTTTGATTCCTCTTAACGTAATTGACAATTTACATTAATTTCAGTCACTCTTCATATTTCATAAGGCCGTGAGCGTGCGTCAAAGCTCAAAATCCGCGCGTACTGCTATGGGCAATATAGTGCAAATTTGATCAAAAACATGCCATTTTAAAAATCGAAATAGCTCTTCAGATAGTCCATTGACCCCCAATTTTTATATCATGGTTGGAGAAAGCATGAGTTGGAGATATGATTTCATACCACCCTGACTCGTACAAAGTGAAATAAAGTCATCATATTGGCATCTAAACTCAAACAAATGTATTTTGTTGATGACGTCATTCTTGTCTTTGTTTATTTGAGATTATCTCACTTATCAGTGATCGATCTTCTCCCAGATTTTGTTATGTTGTAGCTGAGATAATTCTCTATCAGAAATATGCCATTTATTTTTCATTTAGATGACGTCATCATAGTTAAATATTCGATTAAAGGTGACAATGCATAATTTGTCATATTTACGTGTTATGTCTATGGGAGGTCACTTTTTTCAAAACATGAATCTGCATGACAAGGTGTTTTAACCAGGATCTCGATTGTTATTCAATAGTTTTCTCCCAAATTTTAGTATGTTGTAGCTGAGACTATTTGCTATCCAAATATTTCCTCAATTTTTTTAATCAGTTGTCAGGATTATGCTTTTGCTCATCATCATCATTAACTTTGTCGTTTTTATCGTCATACAACATTATCATTATCATCATCATCATCACCTTTACTATCATGATCATCACCATGTTCATCATGATCATCATTGTTTACATGTCTATATAACTTCTCCCATTCTCAAATCTATCATAAAACTTAGACAGACCACCTTATTCGTCTTCGTGACGAATTAAATTCTAGTTTAAAAATATACTCATATGGACACTTGGTATTCCAAACTTAGTCGGTGGATTAAACCATGGACTAAAGTTAGTCCGCTTTTGAGAATACCACCCTACAGGTCTACGTCACAGTGACAAATACCGATTCAGCCAATTTGAAATTCCTGTACACGTGTTTATTGTGAGTACAACTTGTAACTCATTTTTTGTCTCATTTTGTTCAAATCTTCACCAATCTGCTTCTCTCATTTTCTGCTTTTTATCAGAGTAATTTGCTATTGAAGATAGCCTTGAAAATTGGATTTTCATCTGTTTTATTATTATTGTCTACAAACTCAGCTCACTTTAACCCCCTTGAATAACAATAGTGCATTCTTCAAATTATTCTTGATTTAAATCAATTTACTAGAATGATAAGCCTTAACTACCGTAGAATTGATTGGCATTGTGATCATTGACTTAATGAACATTACTACATTGTAAGAGGACAGTTTACTCGCCCATCTCTTTATTTACATTTTCCGATACTAATGCAATGTACCGTTACATATTTACGGTATCCTGAGTTACAAAGTTTATTCCTCAAGTACCGGTAATTTTTGAAATACATGGATTTCACCAAGGCCAGAAAACCTGTTATTTTATTGAATTTAACCGATGCGACCATTAGGTCTTTGACTCTTCATCTACACTGTACTAGTACAAATGTATGTCAAATATGTGTAACTTATCAATTCCTCCTGGATGTACATGTACATGTACAGGTACAGTACCTGTACAATTTGTGTACATTGTTGAAGTTTGCTTGGCTTTGCTTTGTTATTACCCTAAAGGTACATGTAGTTTGTCGAACTACATGTACATGTATATTGATGCCTAGTACAACTAGTATCAGTTTGACGTTCACAGTGCAAATGGTTATTGAGATACATGTACATGTACCGTAGGCAGGCACGTACGCAGGGGGGGATCGAACCCCCCCCCCCCCCCCCTCTAATTTTGTTTGTGTGTGTTTTGGAGAAAAAAAACCTCAATTAAAAAAGGTGACCTTACCCCCTCCCCCTCTCCCAACCGAACGAAATATCGATGGGCCAAATTTTCAAAATTCGGGACAAAAAAAAAAATATATAAGTCCTCTTAAACCCCCCCCCCCCTGCTTATTCAGCGGCTGGCTGAGTTGTTGCGTCTGACCGTAGGTAATACACCTGAAGAGAGCTTTCATTCTCTGTATCGATCTGTACGACCTTCAACCTCTTTATCCCTTAATCTAATCTTAGTCCGTCAGTAGTTATGCTTACCAGTTCCAAGTTAAATAGTTTATGGCCTACTGTATACGTTCCTTGGAATATTGCAATAGGGCTATTAACAAAAATAACTAAATTGCATGGAAAAATTACCTTTGACCTTTGACATACAGGTGTACATGTACAAGTACTATAAACCCATATCTAATCAGTTTGTCAACCCCCAAGCCTGATGGCTACATGTACAGCACCAACTTTGGTGAGCATACATGTAGGCATGTGCTCAAACTTTGGGAATGGTGCAGATGATTCATGACTTTCAATGCCGCAAAATAATTTATTCACAATTTGACTCACAATGCTGAATTTGTCCACTTTGCAAAAGTTTCTTGCTGTGAAACGGCTGTCAAGGAAAGTTTCTAATTTTGCGGAATTACAGTATGCCGTAGTGTATATGTACATGTAGGACTGTAGGTTGAGCTACAGTGTTTAGTGTTGGGTCCAGGGTTAAAGTTAGGATATGAAAAGCATTGGAGTTCAGAGATTAACCTACACGGACATGTACATGTATGTGTATTGTACGCCACATGGCATGTACAGGTACAGCCAAAAATGATTGTGTAGCTTACATGTAGCTCAGCAAATATTTTAATTAGGGTCTCTAACTGTTGCAACTTGCAAGATTCACACTAATGGTAGTTAGTATTATTCTAAAATCTGGACAGATTGTAACATACATGTATGTAGGTATACAGTATTTTCATATTAGTTACTGTTGTTATTGAGAGGAAACATATTAAAAAAGTACAATGTATGTTCAAATTCATTTTCATTTCCACATCTGTATTTTATCTATGATAGTGATATTTATTTTTGGGCAGTCAACTAATTTTGTGATGTTTGGTTTTGTCCAGCAAAAGGAACATAACAGTTCAACTTTTATATGCATTACATATTAGGTGTAGACTTTCTGTGAATTTAAATTTAAAGGTTCGTTTAGATATGCAGTAGACTGCAGCAGTGTTAACATGTAAATAAATGGTGACTGTGTCCAACAAACGTTCTACACATATTCACTGGGCTCTGTGTTATAAGGTACAGAATGTGAAGCATACCATGTCGTATCTCCATAAGGCCTGTGTTTGTAATTCTGTATGCTGTGCTTTCCTTTCATACTATGTCCCTTTTGCAGCCAACCTCAAATGCTGTAGAACTTTGCAGAAATTATGAATGTGTCATGTATGTCCTATCTGTGCAATTTAAACGTTAGCAGTGTCCGAATATTCAAATTATGCAAGGAAACCTGTTTACTTGCTAGACTTCACTGTCAGACACTATTGAGTGACTGACTGGCTTTATTCTTCTTTGGTAATAACAGTACATGAAATGAGTTGTAAAGGGTACAAGAGCATTTGTCTACATCAATAACCCACTTCTTGTAATGGCCAAAATCAAACTGATTGAATCTTTGCGCAGCATAAAACGTAAAACAATGCGGTACAATGGTCTGAAGATCAAGACTTTTACTGATTGGCTCTATAGCTCCTAAGTCGATTTGACAACTAATAGTCGCCATTTTCCAACTTAAAAGACATTTTCAAGCCCCCCCCCCCCCCTTTTTTTTTTAAGGGGAGTTCTAAATTAGTATTATCTTTCAAATGTCGTTGGAAATTAACCTTTTCATTTTTTTGGGGTCTGCAAATGGGACATACCGGTAGCAGAAAATGTTTCTTTCATCTTTGTTCAAAACTAAACCTTTCTCACAATTTCCATTTTCTCTCTTCTACAGGTGAACACAGATTTACTTATAGATGACTTAACTGAAAGGTGAACTACGTTGTGTACAGACAGAAGTTCACTATGCCAGGCAATCACAAGAATCGGGGCGGAAGCCCTACTTATTATCATGAACACAAAGACAGCCCTAGCAAGAGGAAACATGCCAAGTCCTCAAAGTCTGGACGACACAAAAGTAAACGATCACGGGACAAGGTCAAGGAACAGGTCGTGAAACCTCTGGTGGAGTATGACGATGTCAGCAGTGAGGACTACTCCTTGAGTCCCCCACCTTCTCCCACTCCTCCGCCAAAGCGCAGAGCCTCTCCCCAACCCCAGAAGAAACGGAGACACGTGTCCCCAGCAACGGCGATTAAAATTTATAAGACACAGCAGGGGAAAGAGTCTCCCCATGTATCAAACTCTAAGAATTCTTCCTCTAGGAGGCAACCGTCCCCTGAAACCTACTCTGTGTCGCAGAAGAGCCACTCGTCCTCCAGAAAAGGAAGGGCCAGTGAAGCCTCCCGGCCAAGGGCTTATCAGAGCTCTCCCCCTCCTCCAACCAGGTACCACACTTCACCTCCCAGGTACTCTGCATCTCCCAAGCGATCCAAGCAGTCCAAGAGTAAGCAGAAGTATCGAAAGTCACCCACGAGTAGCAGGAAGAACAGAAGTCCAAGTCCCGACTACTATCAGACGTCCAGACAAAGCAACAAGTCTAGAAGTAGAAGTCCCTCCTACAGGTAAGTTTAACTAATGAGAACTCTACCGCATCTATGGTTTTCAAACAAAACAATTTGTACATGCCTGTTCAGTAATTTAAAGAATGTTACTAATTGACACAATTTATATGTACATTTAGTTTGTACTGAGTGGTAGGACCTAGAAAGATGATTGTGTTTCGCCCAATTGTTTGTATATTTAGGGCCTTGTGTTTTTCTTCATTTACTCTTGAAATCCTGGAACTATTTTCAGTTACATTTAATCATAGAAATTGAGAAAGAGAGAAGTTGCTGGAAGTGAAATGTGTTGAGCTATTTAGTGTTCTGCATTTTAGTAATGGATTGATGCTCCGGCAATGAAGAATGATGTGTAAGGGAATGACATTTGAGAAACTAGGATAAAAGAGTAATAAACTGATAATGTGTCTTTCCTGTTGGGTTTTCAGAAACAGAATAAACAATAAATGAATATTTATGTTATATCTTGTGTCTAACATGGCATTCTCTCCTGAACTAATAAAAGCAAATCTAAAACTAAAAGCAGGAAGAGGCATCAAAGGATATCCCGGTCTCCAAGTGGCAGTCCGTATCGAAGATCCAAACACTCTCCGTCCAGGTCTCCTTCGCCTTATCGGGGCAAGAAACGGGCACGGAGCCCTACCCCTAATTTTCCTGCCACAAAGTTTCATTCCTCCATTGGAGGGGAAGTCCAGAAGTACAGGAAGAAAACCGTTCAGGCAGCTAAGGCCAAGGTGGTCAAACAGGAGAAGGAACCTTCTCCAGAACCTGTGCCAGAACCTGTCAAGGTCAAACAGGTCAAACAGCCAAAGCCAGAGAGCCCAATGGTTTTTACAATTAAGAATGATTTGAAGGAAACCGCCTCACCTCAACGAACAGTCGTGGAATTGCCAGATAGAGGCCTTATTATCAAAAAGGAATTGAAGCCAGTTGTGCCATCGCCAGTGCCAGCCCCAGCACCTGTAAGAACCACCCCTCCCCCAAAGCAAACTTCAGCAAGGCCACCTTTGCCCCTCCCGCCTATGATAGACGCAGTGGACAGTCCTGTGATAGCGCAAAAAGGTAAAGGCGATGTTGCTGAACGAATGCGAAACTTGTCCAGGGATCGTGCACGATCAAGGACATCGATAACTGATCTTCCGCTCCCGCCAATGGCTCCAACCCCCGATGAATCACCAGTTGACACGCCATCGCCTCAGACGCAGCTTCATTTGAGGGCCAAGGAGAAGGATACAAAGGACCCCAAAGTGGACTTGGGTAAGCGGGAGATGATCAGGCAGAGGAGGGCAAAAATGGCTGGAAGCTCCTTGGATTGGGGAGAGAGGTGTGTGGATGTCTTTGAGATCATCAACCAGATTGGAGAAGGAACCTATGGCCAAGTGTACAAAGCCAGGGACAAAGATACAGGTGAGACATCTGGTATTACCTTCATTAAAGGGATTGGGTAACTTTGTCTCAGTTTCTGAAACAGAATCCTGGATTTAGCTCATGCTGCAATCATAATTATAAGCCTTTAGGTCAGTCAGGAACCCCATGACTTATACAAAACGATCGCCTGTCTGATTTTCAAGATATTTATGATTGGAAATCGACATAAAATTTGGATTCCATGACATTTGCTCCGGCGACAATTGCTCCGCTGTAAATTTCATACACTAATCGAATGGCTAACTTCAACCCTGGATTCAACACTATACCCTACCCTAAACCTAACCCTAAACCTAACATAAAACCCTATTGAAACCCTAACCCTAACCCTACATCTTAGACGAAATAAAGCCCGGAGCAATTGTCGCAGGAGCAAATGTCGTGTCACCAAAATTTGGCGTTTTCCTAACGGTTTTCATAATACTAAAATCTACAGGGGAAAACGAGTATGGTAAAACTGGTCACTCAAAATTTTTTACTTTTTTTGAGGCACGTCTTAATAATCATTTTGAAGCGCAATTCTTTTAGGGCTTCAATACTTGATGATCGACCTTTTCTGATCGATTCCACAACATTTCTTTCACAATGCAATCGCATGACCATAACTCAACCTTCTCTTTAAGGTGAATTTGTTATCAAAAGGTGTTTTCCATTAACCCCTTCCCTCCCATTTTCCTCCACTCACAGGTGAACTGGTGGCACTGAAGAAGGTGAGGACGGACAATGAGAAAGAGGGCTTTCCAATCACAGCCGTCAGAGAGATCAAGATCCTCAGGCAGTTGAACCATGACAGTGTAATCAGGCTCCATGAGATTGTCACAGACAAACAGGATGCGCTGGACTTCAAAAAGGACAAAGGTGGGTTCATGATTAAAGCTTTTAATAATAATAATAATAATAATAGACATTTCTATAGCACCGTCTATCTAGAAATATCGGGATCAGACCACAACCTTTGAATTTCAAGTCAAATGCTTAAACCACTCGACTACTACACTTCTACAGTAGAACATTACAATAACTACTATGAAATTATATCTTTCCATTTAAACTGTGTGATACCCTTACATGAGGATGACACTATTTGAACCACCATGTGGGCTTATACTGCGACATATTCATTTGTTTGTTGGTTGACGTGAACGGGGCACTTTTGGGGGGAGGGGGGTGGAGGGATTCTGTGAAATCAGGGTACATGGTAATTGCTTCGGAGATGGGTTTCTGTAGATTGAATCCTTGGCTCTGTATCATAAAACTTGTTATCAAAACTTGTTATCAAAACTTGTTATCAAAACTTGTTATCAATAACAACTGCCACAGATCTATGACAAATCTGCTCAAAGCCAATCAAATGCAAGGATTTCAATGGCATATAACTACAGTCAAACCTGCTATCGTGACCACCTGTCCACAAAGGCCACATTTGTTGTTTCCCTTGAAAGTGGTTTCTCATTGAAACATGTACTAAAGGAACCTGTCTACTAGGACCACTTTTTATGTTCCCCTTCGGCGGTTGATGTAGACAGGTTTGAATGTATTATCAGAACCTGTTGATAACAAGATTTATTAAACAGGGCCCTAGTTTGGGACCTCTACCATAGACAATGCTATTTGTCCAGAGTTATCTGTGCTCATTCCCTTAAATTGACTCTGTAAACATTGCCTCAGATTCTGAAATAAAATCCTGGATTTAGCTCATGCTGCAATCATATAAACTACATGTATAAACCTTTAGGTCAGTCAGGAATCCCATGACTTTAACAAGCCGATAGCCTGTCTGATTATCAAGATATTTATGATTGGAAATCAAATTTTTTGTTTGTTTTCCTATTTTTATAACACTGCAGTCTATATGGGATAATGACTAAGGTAAAACCGGTCACTCAAAGATTTTTTGTTACTTGTTTGAGGTACTTCATGATCGTTTTGAAGCGCAATTTGTTTAGGGCTTCAATATTACACCATAGGGTAGACAATGATAACACGTAGGGTCGTGCATCTCAGATTACAGATTGTTAAACGATGCCTTTAAAATATAACATCTCTCTCATTGACTATCCAAACAGGAGCCTTCTACCTGGTATTTGAGTACATGGACCATGATCTAATGGGACTGCTGGAATCTGGGCTGGTGAACTTTAGCGAGGAACATGTCAGGAGCTTCATGAAGCAGCTCCTTGATGGCCTGAACTATTGTCATAAGAGGAACTTCCTGCATCGGGATATCAAGTGTTCCAACATCTTATTGAATAACAAGGTAAATTTGTAATCAGTATCCATGTGCTAAACACATATATAAAGACACCAAGGGAGATTAGAAAAAGACATTTTTCTGTACAAGCATGTTGTAAATGTTGATGAGAAACACCTTTCAAGAGGAAACAATTTGTCTTAATACAGGTCTTTCTACGCAGGTAGTTGCAAAAGTAGGTTTCAACATATAGAAAGACAAGTGTTGTTTTATCTCAGTTTTGTAGAAATCATGAAAACTTGACTCCAAACTTTTTTTTTTAAAGAAAGATTGATACTGTTATTGGTTGAAACTTAAATCAAACATTCCCATAAAAAGAAGTTTACTTGTGGTGATCTGGTATGATCTGCTGATCTCTTCTTTACAGGTTTTTGCTCCCTTGTAAATTCTTTCAACCTTTTTCCTGGATTGAACAATAAAGCTAACCATTTAAGTCACACATGTACACACACATTGTAAGCGAAAACAAGACAAAATGTTACAGGTACATATAGGCCTACACATTCTATTGTTAAAAGATTTAACATACAGGGTGGCAAAATAATACACTTCTTGTCCATTGAAAATAGTGAATAGAAGGATTAAGTTACTCACTGTGAACTTGTCCTGGGCATGACTCATGCAAAGTGCTGTACTTTTCTCATTGTTTGAACCGATGGGGAAAGGTCATAAGGCCAAAAAAAAGCAAAAACATGTTTAGCGTCCTGCCTGTTTGAAAAATAGGAAGAAGGAGGCCCTTTTTTTTTTTTTTTTTAATCAGAAATAGATCCATTTTAGCAGTGTTTCTCATGTTTTTCTTTAAAAAAAAAAAGGAAGCGGGCGGGGACGCTAAACATGTATATTCTTTTTAATGGCCTAACCTACATATCATGTTCATGTCACATAACTTTTCCAGACAGAGTGCAGCTGAGTTATTTTTCACTTTTGGAATAATTTTGAAGATTATACAATACAGCAGTATGAAAATGAATCACATGTTGTAAAGACTAATTACACTCAAACATGGACCTATAAAGAAAACTCACGGGAAATGAGACAAGAAATCTTTATTGGCAGTCAGTATGATACACGTTTCAAAAACGTCCTAGCATTCTTCAGAAACAAAACGGGGGGAGGTCAAAGGTTCTTCTATGAATATTAATTATTTGTTTTTGTTAGACAAGCCAAAGATGCATTGTTATTTACATTTCATGTAATTTCATGTAAATACTAGACAGTAATGTGTGATAGCCATTTTGAAACCATTTGGATAAAAACTTAAAAGGATACTTACATGTACCTCTTAGTTTTAAAGTCCGTTTTTAATATTCTTTGGACCTCTCCTCCTTTTTTCTCTTTTCTACAGGGCCATATCAAGTTGGCTGACTTTGGTCTTGCCAGGTTGTACCATGCCGATGACAAGACCCGCCCTTACACCAACAAGGTCATCACCCTGTGGTACCGGCCACCAGAGCTCCTGCTCGGGGAGGAGCGGTACGGTCCCGCGGTGGACGTCTGGAGCTGCGGCTGTATCCTGGGGGAGCTCTTCACCCAGCGCCCCATCTTCCAAGCTAACCAGGAGCTGGCACAGCTGGAGCTGATCAGCAGGATCTGCGGCACTCCTACCCCGGCGGTCTGGCCGGACGTGATCCGCCTTCCACTCTTCAACACCATGAAACCAAAGAAGATGTATAACCGGAGGCTCAGAGAAGAGTTCTCTTTGTAAGTATACTCGTGCATACCAGCAGTGATTATAGAATGCATCAATTTGTGACCGTGATATGGATCAGAAAATTGCTATGAAAAAAAAAATTCACCCCAAATGAAATCTTGTTTCTTTCATCGAAAAATTGAATACATGCTGTGTCACCTTAAAGTTAGTCTCTCTTTAAGCAGATAAATAGCATATTTTTATGAATCTTGATGCTATAACAGTATGACCATTAGCAATATTGCATAGTCTGGTGCATTTTTCAAAAACACTTTTAGTTTTCAGTTGAATTTTTTTTTTTTTCTTTACGTTAAAGATTATTCAGTGAGAAAAATTAAAATTAAAATAATTGTGATAATAACAAGACTTTGTAGTGTTGACCTTTAATTTGAAGTCAATAGAAAAAAAAAAGCCTAAACCATCTCAGTGAGCAAGCACAATACAGAATTAGTTAATCCTATCCAAAAAATGAGTGACAGTAACGTTCGAACCAAATATAAATGTGTGTCAAGACATTGCATTATTTAAACGTAACAAAGCAGAGATATCCAAGCATTGAAGTTCCATGGACATGGTTCTCTCTTTCCTTACCACCAGACTACCCAAAGATGCCCTGGATCTCTTGGACGGAATGTTGACCCTTGACCCCGACAAGAGAACCACTGCTGAAGACGCGCTCAACTGTGGCTGGCTGCAGACTTCGGGCACGGGAAAGCTAAGCCAGCCAGAGTGAGTTCTTTGTTCATAATTGATGGTAGTTTGTAACTTTGCTGCTAAGAAAGAATATGTATGCTTGTAAATGAGGGAGCAATTGCATTAAAAGCATCGTTTAACAATGTTAAATCTGAGATGCATGGTTCTATGTGTTATAAGTGTATGTGATATAGTGTAATATTGAAGCCCTGAAAGTATTGCGCTTCAAAATGATCTTTAAGAGCCTCAAAAAATAATATCTTTGAGTGACCGGTTTTACCATACTCATTTTCCCTAATAGATTGAAGTGTTATAAAAAACGTTAGGAAAACAAAAAATGAAATTTCCATTTCCATTCATAAATATCGGCTTGTGAAAGTCATGGGATTCCTGACTGACCTAAAGGTTTATAATTATGATTGCAGCATGAGCTAAATCCGGGATCTTTTTCCAGCAATTCTACTGAGTCACTTTGTTTTCTCGGAGGGACTTGGTAATTAGGAATGCACCATGGAACCTTCCAATTACGAAATCACTGCTTTACCAATAAGCCATTATAGGGCTATATTTATAACATTCTAACTGATCTTTCAAACATCCAGTAGTTGGTCAAGAAAGTTGGTTTTCTTTTCGAGTGTGAATGTTCAAGTATGGTGACTGAAGAAGGGGTAGTTTTCCAACAGGTTTCATTTTCGCTAGTGTTGTGTTTCGTTGTAGGGTCGATAATTTAACAACAGCAAAATGAATGCACAGTGTGTAAACAAATATTGTCAGTAGCCTGCGTAAATGAAACGCAAAAATAAAAACTTGCAAAAGTGTCCATGTCTCATCATTCTCAAAAATATATGTACAGGGAATAGTGGCTCATATAGTTAATACTTCTGATATACATGTATCTCAACTGAAACTGGATAAAAATGTAGCCCAAAAATTGCCACTTTAATATGGTATATGAAAAACTGTTCCTCATGTTTAATTAATGCTGAATTATAATGGAATCTATAATTTTGTTTTCATGTTTATGCTGTTCATGAATTATAGCACAAAAATAATGTCATATATTTAGCACTTTGCCTGTAAAAGTATCACAGCACTTAACCTGTTTTATATTTGGTTTTTATTACCTTCTAGCTTGCCACATTGGCAGGATTGTCATGAACTGTGGAGTAAGCGCAGACGCCGCCAGGAGAGGCAGCAACAGCAGCAGCTGGCAGCTCAAAATAAAGCAGGCAATGGCCCAGATCCAAGCCACTCTAAATCCAGTCGCAAAGAGCCTCCTCCTCCTGCCCCTGCAGTGACCGAGGAGGAAGCTCCTCAAATACCCGGACTTGGATCAGAAGAGCCCAGTAGCTCAAAGAAAGGAAGTAAGGCTGCCAGCCGCTCCAACACTCCCCAAGCCCCAAGAGAAGGTAAGGATTCATCAAGTGACGGTGGGAAAGCAACGGGTGAAAAGAAACTGGCCAAGTTAATCAACCTGCTCCAGGCTCAGCCTCAGCTCAATGTCAACAAGCTTGCGGAAACCCTCAACGTGCAAGTGGATGCCTCTACTATCAAGCTCTTGGAGAACCTGAACATGCAGCTCTTGATTGCAGCACATGCTACGAAGCAGAAGTCCAAGGAAGGGGGAGATGATGCCAAGCCGTTGCCGTTACCTACCAAAGAAGTCACAACCGATTTGCTTGTGAAGGCCTTGGAAGGGTCCAAAGGGTCGGGTGGTGCCCTAGAGCAGGTGTTTGGGCCATCCTCTTCAGAGCAGAAGAAACACGCTAAGGAAATTGCAACCTCTCTTGCCCAGTATGTCTCTGCCTTGTTTGGTAAACCAGTGAATCCTTCAAAGGGTCCAACAGATCCAGCTCCGTCTAGTGTCGTTAGTCAGGGTAAGAGTCATGGTAATGCCCATCAGAGCACTTCTATCGTCACCCCGCCCTCCGACTCCCGTAGCTCTTATATAGACAATCTTAGTGGCTCTCAGGGTGGAGAATCTTCCAGTGTGCCATTTTCCAGGAAGAACTCCAAGCCTGACTTTGGTGTATCGGATGACTCTCAGCAGAGCTGGAAACCCCCAACTCCTCTGGGGCCACCACCCGAGTCCCCAGAGGCGGAAGAGCAGGAGCAGCAACAAGAAGAAGACACAAGTCTGGTGACTCCTGGTGTGAAGGCTGCCTTGATGCAGATGATTGCCCAACAGGGCCTGTCCGAGCTGGGCATTGATAACCAGCCTGTGGACCCCAATCTGCCTCAACCACCGGAACCATCCCTGCCACCCCCAGACAACGCACCTCAGGATCCCTTCCTACCTCAGTCAAAGGCTATCTTCCCCAGCGGACAGTACTGCAAAGAGGACCCCTCCAAGGCATCGGGAAGCGGAGACAGGGCGAACTCAGTTGGCGCAGGGAAGAGCAAGGGTAAAAATTGGTCCTCTCCCTTCAATCGAGGAGGGGGTAGAGGAGGGTTTAAGGGATCTCACAGGGGTAATAAGAAGGGACCCGTTGGGCCAGGGACAGGGTGGTCATGATGATAGTAAAGACAAGAGTTACTCTATTTTTTACACTCCTCTTATAGAGACAGGAATGTTGAAAATCACAAATATATTATGATAGTCAATTGTCATAAGTTCCTAGAAGATATTCCCTTGCTCTCTCTTGGTTTGTACTACTGTCATCAGCTATTGAAATTAAAAGACACAATGTATTTGCCTATTTATCAAACTTTGCTTTTGTGCTTTCCTATAAAAAGCTTTGTTTTTGTAGGTATCATATGTGGACGGTGACAATTCATTGATGTATTATGCACTTTTGGGACACATTTCTTTTAAAATTTAAAAAATGCATCTTTAGCTACTCACTTGACAGAGATTTGTTGAAATGATTTAGCAGCTTTAGTGGCCTTGATAATGTCTTGATAAAGTATTGAAATATGGTGCACAATATTTTGCCATTTGTATAGAAAGCGATGTTTAGTATATAATAGTCAAAAGTGCCATGAGTAGACCAAAGTCTTCTTTTTATAATTACTTTTTCAGTTTTAATTAGGAGTTTAAGTAGGATTTGTGGAAACAAAGCACCATATTTCATTTTCAGCTAATAATAGTCTGTTTATCAGATGGCATGAAAAGATTATTATATTACCATGGCAGCGCTAGATCAAGTGATCCATAATTTGATCTTTTTAAAACTTTAGACAGGAAAGATACAATTTGTAAAACAAAGAGATATTTTGTGATTCTAAACTGGCTTCCTATAAATCATTGACAGGTGAGTTTTGCAACTTCTAATGAACCCTTTCTTATGCAATCAAGGCCAAATAACAAACTAAAATGCAAGCCTCGATAGTTTGAAAGATATTTCTTTTCAATGTTTAATTTGAATTCCTTACCAAAACCCATGCCATAGATGCATTTCAAAATGAAAATGGATACAAATCATGATGTTCTGGAATAAGGAAGAAATATCAATATAAACAAGAAACAATTACAAAACAAATTGAATGTGAGACGATCACATAGAATGTCTTTATCATGGAATGTCAAACAAAACCTTTACTGGGCTTTTGATTGGCAAAATCAATCAAGAAAGGGAGGGGGGGGGGTGAGATTTTTTTTACCAAAGCCAATTAAAACAACAGGAGGGAGTTATTTCTTGTTGAGACACCCCTCCCAGTGCATTTTCCAGTCCTTAGTAATTTACTGACATGAAAGGACATTATTTGAATTTATTTCCCCCTCTTTCTATGTTTTAATGATATCTCTATTTCAGAATTTGCAATGATCATCAACTGGTAACTAAAACAAATCTTCCTTCTGTTTAAGAATTTTCATGCATCTGATATGAAACATTCACAGATCTTACTCATGATGATGTTTTGGTCAACTAATTTGTAGGTTGCCGAAAGTATTTTAAACGTTACTCCCTCCCCCCAAAACTGTATCTTGAAGAAAATTCAATAAAATCATCTTAAACATTGTGTCAGACATGAAGGATCAGATAAAAAATGTTTAATAATTTTATGGCTTACCACCTAAGGAGATGTCTTGATATCTTTGGAGTGATCTGAGGTAGGATCTTCAAATTGGTATTTAAAGATCAGCTTATGAACTCAACGGCTTTTGGGGTCGCAGAGTAAAAGGGCATTTATGTCTACAAATTTATCCTCATTCATTTTGCTCTTCTGATTAAGTATTAGTAAACGCTAATTTAAAGGAATTATCCAGGTAGCTTGATAAGACCTAAAAAAGAAGAATTGGTATGGAAATGTTGTATGACAGTTAGGATTCTTAATAATAACCGTTGGCTTACAACAACTATTTCTGATTGTAGAACTGATTTAATTTTCAGGCCCATAAGGGCAAAGGTTAAAGGTCATTCGACTGACTGGTAATGTCTTGTGGTTAACTATGGTAATGGTGACGAAAGTCACTTTGTATTTTTATGTTTAAATTGTAGATATCATAAAGCTCTAATTGTTTTGTATTTCTTTGTTTATGTGGGAGAAAACCAGTTTTCATCACATTTCTTTTTATGAAAGAGTTCTTAACAATTATCACAAGATAGAAATGTAGAATGTAGGAACACTTTGCTAGTTAGTAGTTGTAGTATAGATGTTGTTGATTTTAGACGATAGCTATGCAGATGAGACTTTAGTGATGAAGTGATGATTAAATATGTTGTAAATATAATGGGTGAATTTGGATCATAGTACTCGGCGTGCACATGCACCTTTGCTTATTGATGTCAAACAAGAAGATATTCATATGAGCCGGCTAAATTAAGAGCTGTAATTATATATTTTTTCCATGTAAAAATTTCAAGCCGGTCAGATATTAAGTAGAGACCGACACAAGGTTAATTTGCGTCATCAGCTAGTGCAAGTGTAATATGTAAATCATTAAAAATCTGTGATGTGTTGATAAGCAAAGAAAGAAATTAAAAATGTATAAAAAGACCCTTTCTCTTGTCTTGTGTATTTTTCTCATTAAGTACATTTAGGAGCTTATAAAGCAAAACAGATGGAGGGGTAGTTTTTTTAAATAAATAATTAAACAACCACAATGCAATGAATTTGACTATGTATTGATTTATATTTTGTTAAATATTACAGATCATTTTAAGTGTAACAATTTTACTTTAATCTGACCATCTCTCTCTAATCTGCCAATAAGTTGCTAAGAATATTTTGAAGACTTTGAAGAAGTCCCACACCCCATCCCAAACTAATTTAATTTGGTTGCATAATTAGTAAACGGGATTGTATGAAAAGATATCAATCAAAACAAAATGAATTATTGGTAAAACAAAAAGAGTCGAGCTACTTATTGTTGGTTTAGAAGAGGGTCACATTAAGCATAGCTCCATGATGGAGTTATTTTGAGTATTTATGCAAATTTTGGTGTAGCATGAGCACCGATCAGTGTTTGAATTATTATAATTATAATTTGAAAGAATTTATCAACCATGTAAACGTACACTTACTGTACATCAATTCCTGCTCATGCTGTACATTGTAATACCTCTATTAAAATTTTGATTGTTTTGATATGATTTTATTTTGAAATAAAATAAAATAAAAAAAATTATGATTAATCATTTTCATATACCAGTAGATTAATAAGCCAATTTTTTTTAAGTTGGTGCAGTCATATACAATGTGCATTTCTCTTTACTTTATTTATTCAAATTTACTTACTTTCCAAACCTGGAAGGGGAACTTTGAAAGTCAAATTAAGCTACAATTTTGGTTTTCAAAAAAGAGGTCAAATGAATGATATAGTTCAGTGAAAGTATGAGAAAAAATGTGATAAAGAAAAAGAAAGTTACAAAATTAAGATTTGAGAACGATCTAACACATTGGCAATTTTGTGACTAACCTTGACAATGAATCTCAAAGTTTAAAAATATATCATTTGAAAACAAAATAATATGGAAAATATCATTCATTTCAATTTTTTCTCTTATAAGTATATTTTCTCATATTTACCTTTGATATGTTTAGAGAAATGTTATTGACGTACAGGTAATATTTCATGTATATGTGTATAAAAATGTAAATTATAGTAATATTGTGTATAAATGTACAAATGCTGTTTATAAATGTAATTAATAAAATAAAATGCTGGTGATTGTGGGAGTGTTTGGTGAAAACTGTGATTGATAAAGGAGCTGAATTCTTCAAAGTTTCTGCAAAGGAGGGAGAGTAATGCAGTGCAGCAGGCAAAGCAGACTTGGAAGTCAGTATACCAGTTGCAGAGATATGGATACACTTCAGTGAAGAAGGAATACAATTATTTTGTCATTTCTAAGGGAAGATCAAGATAAATAACTTCAACTGTTTAATTAACCCAATTATGTTTTTGTGACATGTGACATTGTTCAAAAATTTCAATTTTGTTAAGAAAGAAAAGGTGAAGATTCTTTACAATTCGGTTTCTTGAATGACAATTTTTCTTCTGGGAAGAAAAATTAGATTTTTGTTCTTGAATCTAACGAACAGCCTTTTATGATCGAGCCACTTGGTTGAAAAATTCCATAGAAGATAACACTTAATTTTAGATAGCTTCTTATTGTAGGAACATAAATTTTGCAGAGCCCAGGGCATCGCTTCATGAAATCACCTTAAGTACAAGTTCACCGACATCCCATTGAAATGTATGTGTATGTTAATTTGTAAACGTGCTTTTCAATGGGACGCTGGCGATTTTGTCCTTGTGACGGTTTAGTGAAACAATGCCCTGGTATTGCATAAGACCAAATGAGGAATCTGTAAACTTAGAAATGACAAAAAAAGACATTCCAGAGTTCTTTCGCATCAGGAGGAGGAGGAAGCGCTGTATTTACAGGAATCACTTTGTGACAATATGCACTGGGATTTTTTGTAGAGGATCATCTGCACAGGATCAACCTACAGTTCATCTGCATCAGATCATCAATGGCAAACACCTCATCTCCAGGTGTGTCCAAACAGCAGGTTTTATTCTAGTGTCGTCAACGAAGAGCGATGCTGAACTTGAAAGTTTTTTTACCAGTGACAATCATCAACGTTACATCTCTTTATACTCAACAAAGTTCTTGATCATCATCATCGCCATACCACCCCCTCCACTACTGGACATCCATCAAGTTCCACAGAAATGCAAGAATAAGATTGTGCATTGAGAGCGGACAGGGCACTGTACCGATCCTCCAGTTCTGCATCACTCATTTGACCAACACACAGTTGGTCTAGAATGGAAAGGTAGGCTGTAGTTAAGCAAGGAAATGTCTTGCTGAGAAAGTGGGAGAGACAGAGAGAGAAGAAAAGGGAATATTATCAGGATAATTGGAAACTAGAAGAGAGAGAAGAAGAAGAAGTTTGGTTATTTTCGTATATGTTATTATCTAGAAATTCTACAGTTTGATTCATCTCCCAAAATGTACAAAATCAACATAGAGAAAATTGATCTCCTGCATCTTAATGTTTTGTCCTTTTTAATTCCATTTATTGGTTTGCTCTCCAAGTCCTTCAGGACATCTTTCATCCATTTGATTTGAATTGTATGCAGCAGGAACTTGTGATTCTTCCAAACATAAATCTATATAACCAAATATTTGGGGAAATAGCAAAATGATGGCCTGAAGACTAAGAAGGGGTGATAATATTAATTCAGTAAATGTTCTTTAATCTTTTCCAGGGGTTGTAGGATGGGAACCAACCAGCATCCAGCATCTGTAAAAAGAAAAATAGTGCATATACATGTACGGTATGTAATTCTGTTTCCTGTAGTTAATTTGATAATGATAATATGAAGATAACTGAACTTCAGTCTTGTAAAATGTCTGAAATGTGAGTTCAAGATGTGGTGCAAGATTTTTCTTCTAATATATAAACACAATTATATTTATATATTTGTTTTCATTATTTTCGTTAGCTACCCCTCCATCTGTTAACTTATGTCTTGTTTTTGTGATGGTGCATTGTGGGAATGTACATGTATATGTGATATATAATCAACCATTGAACGTTATGTGGTGTTTGTGATGTGTACTGAAAAATAAGAGTGTTGGCTGGTGAGAATGGTTCAATAAAGACTTCATCTTCACTGTGTTCTGGATGAGGCAGAAAAACCCATGCATTTTGGATTCCAAGTACCAAAACTCCCTTTCCCTAGCCCTGAAACATATTTTGATAAATTAGATAAGCTAAGGAAAACTTAATAATCTCAAAAGACAACACAATATCAGTCACTAACTTAATGTATGTGTAAGGTAGTGAGGGAATTCCTTTTAGATTCCATCTTCATTTGGTCAGGGATAAGTTCATAAGACGGAAAAGCAAGGAAAACAAATGTTTGAAAAAAGTGTTGGATGGCGATTAAAGAGATAGTTGAGTTCTTGATTCAGACCGCAAATGCCTTCAAAGTGCATGGTTATTGCTCTTATTCTTATCTATGACATTTCTAGTGCTCTTAATAGGATCTAAACATTTTAGACCCCAAAATGTGTGAAATTTAGCCAATACAATTATACCAATTAAGCTCCACTTCCAAAAATTATGGTGATCTTTAATTAATGAATTAATTAATAATAACAATACATGAGCCTGTTGGTTGTGCGTATTATATAACCAACACAAAAAAGCCAACGAAAAGATTTTCAACGGCTGGTTCAAATTATCAAATATGTAGGGGGCACCACAAATATCAGAAATCATTATATTTATGGATATTTCAGTCTCTGAATTGATTTTGATCAAAGATGATTTTGTCATATAAATTTTATGTTCTTTCAAATTTGACACTTAGTTTTTCATTTTCTCACAAAAATTATTTTGTTTAGTGCCCTCTGCAACAAAACTCAACTATCTCTTTAACTTTTTTTTAATACATCATCAACAATCACATATTACCTACACAACAACAGTCGACATCAAAGCAATACAATACATGTACATTGCTTCCATGTACATTTTTGTAGTATGTAGCCTATTGAATTCAAGATCAATAATAAAGTGTACATCTTGAGATATGTCACGTTTGAAGCAATTGAATTCTGGCTGTTGATGGTCATTGTTTAGCCACCTGTTCTGTAACGTATAGTACAAGTTAAAGAGGGGGGGGGGGGGGGTACTAAAAAACATATCTAATGAAACCTTCACCCAAATAGCGAAATAGAAAAGGAACTGCCAATTCTTCAAAGACTTGCATTAAGCTAATAACATATGGGGGGGGGGGGGTATCATATTTTATGTAATTTCCCCAAAACTGGAATACCTGACAGTGTATAACTTTGGAAAGACACTATGAATTACATGTTACATAATGTATGTGCCAGGTATATGTGCCCATTTAAAATTTAAGTGAAATATTGCTCTCGTCTTGAAAAGTGGATTATGATTCTAATAAACAGAAATACATATATAGGAAGGTGAAGAGACCTCTTTGGAGTGGCATATCCAGACCTTTGCCTCAGGAGGGGTAACAAATCTCTGCTTACTGTGATCCATACGGGGCCTGATTTGAATATGTTGGGGAGGGGGGGGGGGGTCATTTCATTTAAAATGGCTGATTATTTATTTTTGGGATGCCTTGCCTAGGTGCTTGAAATTCAAATAAAAAAGGGGGAATTCGTAATCAATGAGACACTTCCCGAAGGGGGAGAGGGGTCATCACCCTTGCTAGGTGCATGAAATTTAAATTAGAAGTAGTCACCAACAACATATGGGAGTAGACTTTAGGGTGGACTCATTACACCTTCTTTTCTTTTAACGTTCTATTCCCCCCCCCCCCCCCTCTTTGTTTTTCTTGCTACTCAATGTTGAATAAGATCCTTTCCAAATAAACTTATACCTATTGTATTTATAGGATGAAACTGGATATAGTTCATATTGAAATGCATCCAAGGAAGATTAGACGTGTGTAAATGGAGACATCAGGATAACTGATCCGCAATATCACATGACAAACACATACCAAAGATTAAATGTTTCTAGAATTAGACAGCAAATGTATAAAACAGAGAAGGGGGGGGGGGCAATCGATATGATGTGTACATTTGTTGATGGAATAGAGATGCTACCCCTGTTATCTTTTTCATTATTTTTTCTTCAAATCATTGAACATGTATAAAATTGCATGATCGGAACAGGATTAAACAAAGTCAATTGGATGGATTATACATATACGTTACTCCGACAATATCTTGGGTTTTGTTAGTAATATTAGGGATGACCAAATACCATGGCCTATCTTTTCTTCATACGGTTATAGAGCTCATTATTTTGATTTGTTTTGTCTCGTTCTATGGAAACCATAGGAATGTCATACCAGAAGTAAGGAACATGTTATTGTTCACTAAAGTGAAGAATCTGATATGTCAGTTACACAAAATTTATTAGAAATAGTTTTTCTAAAATCTTTAAATTGGCAACATTAAATCTATAACGACATGATTTCAAAACACCGGTTATGATTTTTTTTTTTTTTTGGGGGGGGGGGGGGTATTAGGGAAATGTTGCATTATGTAATATTCATACATTTGCAAATTGAAATTCTATACAAGTCTACAGGAAATTACACATCCTTGTTATTTCCTAGGTAAGGTTATTTATTTGACTGCAATATTCTTTTCATATTCCTATACCCCCACACGCTGGAAAATTTGATATTTAAAACTCTTCCTTTAGATCTTTACTTGTTACTTAAATTCATACTCAAGAAAGCAGGTCTTAAGAAAAATTCCCAACAAACGTATCTAATACTGGATATCATCCATTCGAAGCAAAGGACTTCCGTTATTAAACTAAAAAACAACACGTCTAATTATTTCACAACACTTGAGACACCGTTGAAGTGCTTCTTGCTACTTGAATATTGTATTCTTTCTTTTCCCTTTCAATAATAAGAATTGTCTTGGAAGTACAAATTTATGAAGATGAAGTCTTGAGGAAAAGAAGAAGAGTGAATCTGTTTGATTATTGGAGGAGTGTTGAATGGAACAATGAAGAATACTGTTTGAAAATGTTTCTGAGCCTGCACAAGAGGTTGGATGTGTTATCACTATTAAATTTAAGTCGTGCAAATGTGAATTGATGGACAGTGTTTTGATGTTCATGTGTAACGTTATTATGTATGAAATAAGCTACCGGTTATGTTTTATGTGGTTTCTGAATGTAGGCCTATCATCCCTATGTGATCATAATAAACAAGTATTATTGTGTGTGCTTGCCATTATACATGCAAGCATTGCCAGTGGCATAGTGAAGATAACACTCCCTCCCCTATGAGCAGCAGGCTTCAGGAAAAAGAAGGGGGGAAATGAAATTCCCTTTTTTTTTGCAGAATATAGCCCACATCAGTATATACAATTTAGGTGTCAAATGAAAGAACAGCTTGAATAGTTGAAATGAAGTGGATAGCACACTTAAAAGTGAACAGACCATAGGCTTAGCCCTTTGTGGATACGCCACTGATTACAGAGATTTAATGAAACAATTTGTACAGTCTATTTGTGTAAGTGAATGTCTATTTGTCATATCCATCAACATGTTTAAACACATAACAAAATAAAAAGCATTTTGTTTTCTGCTTCCATTGTGAACATGTAGGCCTGCATTACAGAAGTAAAAATATACTTTGACTTCCTTCACAATTTTGATTGTTTACAACTTTACATTGCTAGTATTAAAGCGTTTTACATGTGATGTGTGTGACGAATGGTTGTGGAGGTATTTTTTAAAAGTTGTTGCTCGGGACTGGAAGGGGGACAAAAGAACATGAAAATTGTGCTGTGTGCCTGTTTAATGAAAAAATTACAAAGTAGATTCCTGCTCTCGAGGTGATCATGACCGATTTGATGACTAGATGCGTTCAAGTGGCAGCTTTAACTCTACGAAAGATTTGAGATGCATCATCTGAAGAAAGATTGCATCGGTTATCTACATGTACTGGTACTTATCCCCTGGCAGATTACTTAAGGAATAAATCTGAACCTCCTTTATGGAAGCTTGCATGGAAGCAAAAGAAGATCATAAAAAGGTAAGTGATCTTTTCTCTCTTTAGGTGATAATTGATTGTTGTGGTTAATTGAATACATGTTCTCAAATAAATTCAAATATAAAAAACAGATTTTAAAGGTGATTTTGAGTTCTCATTAGTGAAACAATATGTACAAATATAAATAAAGGGTATCTTTCAAGTTTGTTTTAGTATCCATCTCATAGTGGATAAAGAGCTTGCAGTTTTTTAACCAAGTATAACAAGTGATAATTCATTTGATTATAAATACATGGCCAGATAAACATTTATCAAATATAATGGAAAATTTGATGTGTTTATTTCAGTAATTGCATATTCTATTGGGGTCATTACCAGAACTCGAGCCTACCTTTCAAATATGATAGAAAACGTGGGTGCAGGGAATAACTGGATAAAATAAATGGTGTTTTTGAATGAAAAATAAGTGACCTTTGTGTGATGAGCAAGTGTATTGTGTCTGGTTGTGTAATGTGATTTTAGTTGGTTTTAATACAAGCAGTGTAAGTCTAGAAAATCTAATTTGAACTGAAAATTTACCCCCCCCCCCAAAGAAAAAAAAGTGTAAAAAGGTGTAAGTAGTATATTTTTGCTTGCACAAAAACGGCTGCTTGCAAGGGAAATCCTTAAGTAATTGATTGGGGAGAGACTGATTGATATTTAAATGATGCAGACCTCCATGTACGTTGAATTCCTGGCATTCATTTGAACATTAACTTCCCCTAAATGGCCATTATGCAAATTTCAACAGAGTAAATAAGTGAACCAAGCAAATAGAACCCGACATAAATGAGCCCCCCCCCCCCCCCCACAATGCTGGTGTTGTGTCACCTGTAACCTACATTACTCATCTTTACTCATATTTGTAACGGTTCCCCACCCCCACAACATGACTGACAACATGTGTGCCATGTATCTCATTGATATTGAAAATTTGTTGTGCCATACTGGTATTTCAATAGGTTACCAAATTAAATTCACTCTAGTATGCACAGTCACAGACCAAAATAAACAACAATTTGATAAAGGTTGTATTGCAGTTAAATAGAAAATATTTATTCCAAAACATAATAAATTATACTGCCTGTGGAACTCTACATTAGAAAGTCAAATGGCTTACTCCTCCAATCGAGAAATGCAATCTGCATGATTCAGGGATAGAAATATATATGACATTATTATGCACTAATGCAAAAATTGTTACATAAAGAGAATTGCTGCTCGTAAACTTGCAAGGAACAACCTTTGACCACTCAATATTAATTATAATGCATATAGGAGACTAAACCCAGTGCTGTGTAGATCTAGTTTGAACTCTTAGCACAAATGTGTGTGAGAAAGAGAGAGTGAAAAAGTAGAATATGGGAGACGAGGAAAGAAATCAAGAAGCAAAATTATGAAGGTGAAGAGAAGAGATGAAGTATTGGGAATATTGAAGCAAGTGTGGCGTGGAGAGGAAAGGGATAAGAAATATTGAGAAGTGGGCAAAATGAAAGAGATGAGAGAAAGAATGACGCACTTCTGTAGTAAGGGAGGGAGAGAGGGGGGGGGGGGTTAGAAGGATAACAAAGCGGAGATGAGTAAGAAATACATAAGAGAAGACGATCATTTCTATAAATGACACTTGAAGTGCTAGAGGAACTTGTTTAGAGTTTAGAAAAAATTATTAAAGCACTTGTTCAACTGTAATACTATATAACTGTACATGTAGTCCTTAACCCAACATAAGTCAGCATTTTTGGCAAAATTGCTCTTTGGATTTCCCACTTGTTGTAGACTGCTATGCCTTGATCTCAAAAGCACTTCAGGCGACACAGCTTTGCTAATCACTGAGAAAAGATAACATTCTTTTTTATCTGATCTGCATTGCTGTGAGTGGTTCAAGTCCACTGGTCTTTCACCTCTGGCATGCAGTTCTACTTCAGGTTATCCCCTCAAAATGTGATCCATGCCCATAAATTAACATTAATATACTGAATGAGTTTTGTGTTCAATTCACTAGCATTTTTATAAAGATTAAGATGTGTCGGTACAAAAACACAAAAGAAATGGAGAATTACATGTACAAGAGAACTTGTTTAATCTCAAGTATGACAGATTTTCATATGCATAGAACGTCCATAATTTTCTTTTTAATGGTCAAGGAAAAATGTTTTCATACTAAGAGATGCTATTTTTCTAATCTAAAAGCGAACTGTGGCATGGTAAATCTCACCAAAAATGACTAATATTTTCAACAATCATTTTGAAAATAATGATACCATTTTAGTTGCAATAGCACAATGATTGATTTTGTGATGGAACGGCAACACCATCAAACAAGGGCATTGTAATCAAATTAGAATCCTCAGATTAAAGTTAAGATATGTGTGAATGTCAAAGATCATGTTCAGTAAAAACAGGATTCCTTGGTGTGGCGAAAAATCTCAATCATCCATAAAAATGTGCACAACCTTGAATCGATGAGGAATAGATGTTTCCCCGCTGCATTACTCCTCCGGAAAGATGGATTACGGTAGGATTGAAAGAAACGCTTCTTGTTTTGACAACACATGCAATTCACTGCTGCTAAGACGGCCATTGTCCACAGGTGCTCATTTACGCAGGTCTGACTACTTCAACTTTTGGTGACCACTAACCACTGACCGGTCATCATCATCACGCATGTTAGAGGTTGATGCATATTTGACAACATTTGCAATTCACTACTGCTCGGAAGTCCATCCCTTACCGATGTCTACCAGTGAGTGGTCAGCACTGCAGTTCTGTCTTTCCTACTTTAGAGTGACCGTTATGCGTCCATCACCACCAGGCATGCAAGATGTCCAGACACATTGATGACACATGCAATTCACTCTTTCTAGACAACCACCTCTAACCATTGCCTGCAGACAGTCATCAACTATCCGCCGCCACCACCGGCTACCAAAATCTTCCATACACAGTTTACATCGTTTGCTGGCTATGACACTGGACCAGAGGATTTCTTTGCGATGAGCTTCTTCCATGGATCCTCTAGCATGGATGGCTTGAAGTAACGCTCTATGACCGATGAGTTGCCTCCATGCTGACCTCGCTGGTATGGACTTCCTCCCTATAAGTGTAATAAAAAGACAAGGAAACAATTAGCATCACAGGGAAAAATTTCTGAATAAAACATATAGGAGTATAGAGGGAAACAAGACTTTGTTGAATGAGGCCCTTGTTACACAATTGTCTCCATATTTTGGTTCCAGGATCGTCTTTTCCCAAAGTTATGTGATAACTGTTTTGGGAGGAAAATAAAAACATTCATTGTAGGAATACCCTGATAATACGTTGGACACTCCTTTCTTCTATAGCCATTTATGCCAAAACAACTTGGCAGTAGTGCCAAACTGCCAACGAGGCATGACATTCTACCCCTGCCCCCAACTCCTATTTGCATTTTCTACAGTCAGTAGAGGGTCCCAACGCTAAAACCTGTAAAAAATAACAGAAGATCTTAATTTATACAGTGAAAACTTGGTATAACGTGGCCATTGATACCATAAAATTGAGCTTATTATACCAGGGTAAAATATACAAGAATATAGAGAGCTGGGTTCAGCAAAATTACTATGTTATTCTGTATATCAGAGCTCTTTACAACAAGCTTCAAGTGAATTTCACATTTTCTTTGAAAGGAAGCATTACAAGTCAATCTCAACTTACTGAAAATCTTTTTCTGTTGTGAAACTGCTGATGACCCGACGGTGTGAACTGAATCCCTCCTCGTCCGCCTCCGCCGCCGCCTCCCCTTCCCCTGCCCCTGGAGTCTCTCCTCTGGTAGCCCCCTCTCCCTCCTCCTCTATTGGGTGAGTCATAGGGTGAAGATCCTGGGCTTTGCTGGTAGGGGGACTGCTGGAATGCGGGCGGAGTGAAAGGGGAGTTGTTATGCGAGGGGTACCGTTGGCCTGGAATAATCCCTCCACCTATCATTGGAGCTTCTACTTGCTGAGGGCTAGGGGGGAAGTAGCCATGCCTGAGAAAGAGAGAGAAAAAATGAAATATCATTGCTTTAAAGTTTAAAGGTTGATTAATATTTGAAAATCAACTTAAGTTGAAAGGGCAATCCACCCCACATGTGGAAATAAATAAATTAAAAAATTAAAAAAATGCAGATAGAATGTTGAGAAAAAAGGAAAAAAGAAAAAAGTTAATGTACAATCTTAATTACTGATGGTGTTATTATTGAAAGAAATTGCTATATCATACGCCAGTAATAGAGGTGTATATCTGTATCTGTCACATTCATTATCATTTGCTGGGTTTATAAAAGGCCCCTTTATTGCAGAGATTAAAAAATGAACTACAGGTATAAATAAGAGCATAAGGAAAACAATTGGTAAACTTAGTCAAGTATAAGATACCGGTATGTAAAGAAAACAAAAACTATTGCAGCACTCACTTTCCATTGCTTGTACTTTGTTTTGAGTTAAACTGTTTGTTGATCAGTATTCTATGGGATTAGATTCTATGGCATGGGTTTGTTAAATCATTTCACAATAAAAGTCAGGAGGCTTGAGCTTGAAAAAGTGTTTTGCCTCGTCTGCAAGGAATCCAAGCTCTAGAAAAAGTCAAAGAACTTAGATAAGCAGGTTCACAGCCTACGATATTAAGGGCATGCTTCATGGGTGCATTGTGAGACCAAAAGATGTGACGGACTTCAAAAGTAAAACAATATAAAGCATAACTTAAAAATGATCAGCAATGCTGTACATGGAAAACGAAGTGTGATGATGTTCAAGTACAGTACTATGTAGTTCAATTTTTCCAAAAAAACGATACCCGAACTGTCAAATAACCAAAACAAAACAAATTAATAAAGGGAAAAAGTATGATCCTGTGTGCTTTTATTTGAAATTATTAGGCCAGTTCTCCCAAGGCAGTCATTTATTTCAATATACATGTACATAAGTTATCCTAAATACTGAATTTTTATTCATTTGCAAACAATTGCATCTCAAATTGTTATAATTTTGTTTGTAAACTTGGTGCACACGCAACATTGAACTACAAAATAATGTCTTGCCAAAGCTGTCATTATTACTAGTCCTACGGCGAGACTCGAAGTCGAACCCCGTACCTTGTGATCTGCAGTCGGATTACTTAATTTTTTATTTCACACACCGAGTCTGACTTAATTTTTCACCCTGGAATTATCTTGTCAACAACATGCAACAAAAGCCACATGCACTTCCTTGTTAAATTTTACACTTACAGTTACATTTCACAGTCACACTCATACTAGACCCTATTACTAGTATTAGTAACTAGCTAGGTCTAGAAAAAAGTCTAGAGTCTAGACACAATCACACAGTCACACACAAATTTCCACTCCAACCAACCAAGTTTCCAACTCCAACAAAGCCAGGTTATCATAATTTCAAGGCTCTGATTAATAGAGATGTAAATTTATGACCTTAATATTTCATTTTAAATGCTTTCAATCAGACACAAACGAGACATTATATATTTCATGAATGGCACCATGAAATTAAAGGCATAAAAACCCTGGCCCTGTCCGACCATCACGGAAAGCGGTAGCATATTTCCGCCTGAGAGTACGGCCCACAGATGGCCAAGCGTTCGATGGATCCTCGCGCACATAAAAATAAAGCATAACGTCTTACCTGTTTCCACCTGGGGGACCCATTGCACCTCTATTTTGACCGTGGTATGGAGAAAATCCTGGATTTCTATTCGGTGTACCCCCAGAATATGGATTCATGTGGAAATTCGGTGTTCTTGACATACTGAGACGATGTTTTCTGCTTTCAAATCGGCTTTCTTGTGGAAGTAAGATTTATGCACTAAGTTCATAAAGCGCATGCGCAAGAATGAATGTGCCGATATCAAACTAACCGGCCGGATACGATTATCAGTGCGTTGCCAATCTAAATATTTTTCACTAATCTTTTTTCCACCGTTTAGTGGAATAGTAGTAGATCTATAGTGATGAAGCTCGCTCCCAACATCAAACTTTAGCTGTTGCTGGTTTATTTTTATCAAGTTTTTGAGGTAATATGATAACAACATAAAAATTGTGACCTCTCCTCTGTTTGGTCTGGTCTAGACTCTAGTCTTCAAAAGCGCGTAGCTAGCTAGATTCCGGTAGCGTATTTTTGTTATACACGGCAGCGAGGGGAAAAGCTCGATTAGCGTTGAACTCCCGTCGCCCCCCCCCCCCCCCCCGTCCCGCCATAAAATTGCGCCTAATGATGACTCTCACATAATACACATGCAGCCTATCAAGACGGCAACATGGTGGATGAGAAGGGGGGGGGAGAGAAAGACAGATGGTGAGATAGAGAGAGAGAGAGAGAGAGAGAGAGAGAGAGAGAGAGAGAGAGAGAGAGAGGCAGCTGAGGGATACGAAAAAGTTCGATAATATGACATTTTCTTTTCTTCCCCTCCTCCCTCTTCCTCTCTCTCCAGTTCTCTCTCTTTCTCTCTCTCTCTTTAGAGTCATACATCCTTCTTTCACACTTTTTTGTTAATCTAATCCATCATATTTCCTTTTGTATGTCATTAATTAAAATTTAAAAAAAACGCCGATTTACTACTTCATATAGGCATAGCTGGCTGTTGCAATGAGAATCTAAAGTGAACTTATAATATAACAGTTTGCCCTTGGTTACTTTGGAATTCTTCTGGCATATACAAATCTAAAGGGTACAAAATGACACGTGGTGCTACGTCACAGCTCACTGTATCTTGAAATCTCAGAGGAGAAGTTGTGACATCGCCTGAAAGAACTCAATCAGCGGAAGATCTAATCTTTGATTACACTTTGTTGAAAGAAGGATGATTTTATAACGCCTGCCGTAAGCAAGCCAGTGGCAGTGCAAAAATAAATAAATATTGAAAGTGACCAGGATGGACTATATAATATGGCCTTTATAAAGATGTGGCAACTACCAGGGGCGGAAGTTTGTTAAGGGGCGCGCATGTCCGAGAAAAAATACAGAATTTGTTAGAAATATTTTTTGGTCATTGTAATTTATGTTATGTATAGGCTACTATGTATTGTGCCTATTTGAAAATAACAAATAAATGTATCTGAAACTAATTCTTTTATGCGACCACCTCATTGACCATTGGTTACTATTATGACAGGTGTGGGAGGGGGAGCCCCCCCCCCCTTCCTCATTCATTCATGCATGCATGCGACAACCTTTCATTGACCCTGCCTTCGTTTTCACATCACTGATGATGCCTATCCTCCTTCGCCGCAAAAAAAACTGGATTCATTTTCACGCCTGCAAGCCCGCCGTACTACTTTAATATTCATTGCATAATTTGCCGTATAAAGAAAATTATAATCATCTTTCGATACTTCTTTAAATGTTACGCTTCCTAATCTTGGGGCTAGAGTCGGGGTTTCAAATACAAATTTAATTCCATAGACACTTTTCACCCCCTTGTGAACTTTACATTGATGTACAATACTCTCCTCCGTTCATTAGCTGACTTGTGTATTTATATTTCTGCAAAACCACTCGTCAATGCATGTAGATACGCAGTTATCTTTTTGTATACATTATGCCTGCAATATCACTCATGAGGATTAGTAGAATTGAGTGTAGGTAATTCCTGGCTGGGACATGTAAGATGTCATTTTTTTCCCTTTTCGTATAGCCTACAGCGTAAGATGGTGTAAACCCATATTTCCTGACATATTTATTGTCGTTTGGTATTATTTCAAAATTCAAAATTATAACTTTTGAGATAATATTTCTCCTTTTTTAATTGTCAATATCCGTATATTCATGCAATGATTAGAGAAAAGTATGTTTTGGCTATGATATTTTGTTTAATTTACACACTCTCCCAATTACATTCTAAATCAAACTAGGTTCATTTTTAATATCGTGTTATAATTTTGTTAAAGAATACTGAATTACGAGAATAAATTTCAGATAAGAAACTTTATGTTTTGCATATAGGTGCCGAACCCAACTCAATAGCGCATGATGATGAAGTGAGAAGCGCATCCATTGTGACATCACAATGGACGTGCATGAAGCGCGAAGCGCAATTTAAATTACCCTGGGAACACCCTATACTACTGCACTTTGAATACATCACAGTGATTATCGTGATAATCTTATCCGAGTGAACTTGCATTGAGCGGTTTCTTTGATATTTACTTACGAATCTTCGAAGTTTTCTTCAAAAATCAGCACCATGGGATGTACAAATTCCAGAGTATGTCCTCTACCGATGGGGTTAGTTGTAGAAACTCCACAAACTCGGCGCCGAAAGCCTAAAGGGAGTTTATTATTGGCGGCATTGAAGAATGTATTCCACAGGAGGAATAGAGTAAGATAACGTCCAATTCGAGTTTTTCTTCAACAATCTTATTGTGATCAAATTCAGTTAACTTTAAATATTTAATGACTGTAAATGTTAATGTAAGTTATACAATTTGATGAAGATTTTATCAAACCTCTTTTTTATTAAGTACTTTTCTATCATGGTATACTCGAAATAAGTAAGATAATGTTGATGGGAAAGTAACAATTCGATAAAAGTATTTATACATGTTAAAGAAGAAAAACAAACAAATGTGATTACGAGGGAAAGATAAAGAGGAAGAGAGAGAGACAAACAGAGAGAGAGAGAGAGAGAGAGAGGGAGAGAGAGAGAGAGAGAGGGAGAGAGAGAGAGAGAGAGAGAAGGGGGAGGGCAGATACTAAATGACAATTACGATTTATTAGAAATAATGCATCGCAGTTGCCCGGAGGCCATTAAGCTTGCAAAAGAAACAAATATTTACTTGTGCTTTTAACCTCCATGATCTAAGGTTTAACCTCTAAGGCAATTTTTTTAATGATCATGCCACTTTATCAAACATTGCTGATAGGTGGTACCCATCAATGATTGTGAATTTGATGACGGAATCGACCAGCCTTCTACATCTTACCCAAGAGACAACACAGTCAACGCACAAGAATTCCTGGCTTATGGTAATTCACAATATAAGAATAATTCTTAAATATCTTAATGAATGAATGAATAATTTTTTTAATTATTTATTTACTTATTCATTCATTCATATGTCTTTGTTTATTTATTCATCTATGTACAGTGTACTTGTACAATGATATATCTTAGATGTATTTTTACCTTTATTCATTTATTTTTCATTTCATTCATTTATTTATTTATTAACTTACTTTTAATTACTTTTTCGTTAATTAATTAATTAATTCATTCATTCATTCAATTAAAACGGTATAATCATTCGCGGCCTGTGAGAAAAGATGCAGATGTGCTCCCCCCTCCCCCCCCCCCCCCCCCCCCCCCCCCCCCCCCCCCCTCCGTGATGCTTTCAATCACAAAGCAAGAGGAAAATAAATCGAATCATATGCAGTATTGCAGTGTACATCAAGGTAGAATGTAGAACCTTAATTGAATATTTGAAAATTAAAGGATTGTTCGAACAATATAGTTATAAATGACGCAAGTGAATGTAAGAATGAAGTGATTTTTATAGGAATTGATGATGCGTTTCGCCACAAACGGGCACCAAATGTGACTTGTAATGGCTATTGCCACTTGCAATCATAGCCTCCCCGTGCTTCTATAGAAAGAAAAAATATTTATAGAAAGAAAGAGAGAGGGGGAGGGGGTCAAGAGAGAGAGAGAGAGAGAGAGAGAGAGAGAGAGAGAGAGAGAGAGAGACGTAGTCCGAAATTGCTGTGTTAATTGATGAATGGCAATTATTATGGGGGAATTGGACCCGAACGCAATATTATATGATTGATGATGAGACAGTGACCCAACAGTTTGGTTTATAATTTATTTATTTTCACTAGTTTGTTCCTTTTTTTTTTTCTTCTCTTTCTCTCTCTCTCTTAATAATGTACCTTAATGGGTACCTGGCAGGAATTAATTCCTGGGAATGCTAGAGCGCTATAATGGCAGCTAGGCTAAAGCCGGGGTAATAACTAATTTTTGTGCCTCAGAATACAATTGTCTAGATAGACGGCGCTATATACATGCCTATAATTATTATTAATTAATAATATTCATACAAACTTTTGTGTATCCCTTTTCAAAGAACGTTTCCTGGCCGGCACTGTACTTTATTCTGATGGCAGCGAGTCCGATTCCGACGATGATGACGTCAGGCAAAAAGAACCATCGATGTCCTACCCAGCTGGCAAAGTCAAGAAGAGTCACGACTTCATCGTCATGGGTAGGTGTTTATATTCCTCTCAAAACTGGAAATAGATTATTAGAAGGAATTTGTTAGCAAGAGGAGGAAGATGACTATGACTGCAGTTTTACATGGCGTTTTAGATTGGGAAGCAGAAATGAAAGTGCTAATATCTGAATTTTGTCCATAGATAAGTAAGAAATAATTTCTAAGCTCGTGAAGCATAAATTTGGATGTAAGATTAAAATTAATTGTTTTTTTCTGTTTCCTCATCGTATTATTATTTACAATTCATCATAAAGACGAGGATACGTCGGCAAAATCTCTTATCACCCAGATTAAGACACGCCCCGGGGGTGTGGCTTTTGAGGTTTCAAATAACTTTTACCCAGTCACCGACGTGGCAGAAATCAAGGTCAGCCGAGGGGGCGTGGCTTTCGAGATTTCAACCGACCACTCTCCAGCTGCCCCTGCAGAGAGTAACGTACCACCAAAGATCTCTCTACCGAGTCCACCAATCACAAGCATGAGTTGCACCCGTCACACCAAGGAAGGCGTGGCTTTTGAGATCGACTTCAGTGATAACGAGGAAGAGAAGCGACAACTCAAGACCCTGAGCAAAATGACGTCACTCATGGCTACAGATGGGTGGAGCGAACGTGACGTCATCAAAGAAGCTGATGACGTTTGGGTGGCCAACAAAGTTCTTGCGATGAAAGTAAGTGGGGGAATCAGTTGAGATTGGGTTGTATTCTAGTTCATTCTTAAATGCTGATTCATTTGTAAAACATAGTTTAGAACTGGCGAAATTCTGGCCTGTAAAGGCACATGATAAGGCCTGGGAAATACGAGGTATACGGTGTAAAGAGAGACACCAAGAAGGAAATTTTATACCGAAAAGGCACTTTTGACTTGTTAGATGTCGAGACATTATTATACCGGGTCGATATGTCATTTGACCATGTCAAGGAAAATTCGATAGTGATCGGACTAAAAATGAGTATGATTTAATTCTCTTTCTTTTGTCAGGACAATGCAAAGCAGAACGAGGAACGCCTGGCTTCTCTGAGGAAGGCTGATCTAGAGTTTGACCTAATGACAGCCACCATGACAGAGTGGAACCTACAAGGTTTCCATTACATCCTGGTGAAGGAGTCTAGCGCTGAACATAGTCTCGTTAGACAGGCGCAATTCCAGGCCTGGAAGAAGAACCTAAGGGAGGGCTTCGGCTGAGCAAGGCGTTCCTTATAAAGTAGTAGGACGGAGGAACACTTCAAGCTAGAGGTGGGCCTGATGACAGCCAGTTAGCCACCAAACCAGATGAGAAACTTCAAGGTTTTCATTACCACCTGGTGATAAAGACTAGACCAGAACATAGTCTCCTTGTATACAGGCGGAAACCTGGAAGCAGAAGTTGCGGGACCACAAGCATTCAAACGAGCATCACTGAACAGGCAGAGCTAGATATCGACATCATGGCAGCAATTCTTGTGAGGATTAAAGAATCTAGTCCTGCTCAAAGAGTGCCAATTAGTAGTCCAACGCCTAGGAAAAGATCCCGGAAAGTATAGTGCATGCCTTCAAAACAACTGCTAAAGGCTTACAGGAGTCTTATAAGTGATAATAGGGTGAGCATGAATTTTAATCATATCGTTCTTTAGTTGATTTTTTAAAGAATTTCACCAACGAATCATAAGTTTTCCCATTAAAAACGTTTATATCATAACCTATAGGCGTACGCCATGTTAGAAGATATAGATGCAAGAAATACTGTTAATTATCATAGTTTATCGGTCCATGTATGGGACACATCTATCACGGATAATATTGCTGGCCATAATTTTGTCATTTAAACTCTTCATTGATTTGTTGTTCACAAAGAAAAATAATTCTGACACTGGCGAATAATGTGAAACGTTTGTTGATTCTTTTTATCACACTGCATAAATTCCCTCTTACAACAAACCCCCAATATTATGCTGATTTGGTAGGGCGCGCATTGTTTCATTTGAGTCATCGGTTTTTAAATTATTTTCTGTCCATCTCTTTTCTCTTTTGATTTACCAGGTGTCGGGGAGACTTTATGAGCCTCAAGTAGTCTGTAGTTTGAAGGTCCATGATCAGGTCGACACATCCGACATAGAAATAACGCACAGCATTGTGTTCCAGAGATCCAGGAAGCAAATATCCACAGAAGGGGCAAAAACAGAATGATCGTCTAAAATGCATTTCTGTTGCTACTACCTCTGAAACTACAGTTCTTGACACTTTAACTTGCCAGCTTTGCGGGAGGAATCAACTTTGATGACAGTGAGAGACGACTAGTGACTGCTAAAATCCGTTGCTTTGTGTATTCGGAAGCTGTCCGCTATTCTGCAACCATCAACAGTTACTATTGAAACGATCTTCTTCATCTGAAGATGAACATCGCTTCGGTGAATAATAGGAGAGAATCAGTGACTCAAAATAATAATGGAGAAAGATGCGTCAATCTGTTAGAAAATTACTGTTATCTATTAACTCTCTAACGAGTCTAACCTGTCATCTGTGAGAAATTAACTATCCACAGATCTTACTCAAATGTTTTTGCTTTCCAGATCTCTAATTATAACAATAATTATGAGAATGATAATAAAAAGTACTAATGCTAATCCAGCTTGTCTCATAATCTATATATAGCGCATGATTACTGCAAGGTGAAAACATAAACAAACAAACCAACTATAGTAAATGGAAAAACAACAGCGAACTTCCCACAGATAAAAACGACTTAAATTGCCATGGTGAGAATTGGTGTTGTTCTAAATTTTCCCACAGGGGAGGGACATAGAAACGTGTAACTTTCAAGTAAATTACTAAAAGTCATGCTGGATTGCATTAAAATATCTGAATAGAAAGAAAAAACATTCCATCCCGACAGACGTTTCGTGAGTGTTGTTCGTGTTTTTTTTCCTCGTGGTTCTATGGACGAGATTTGGTACATGGTCTTGAATGTGTGAAACCGACTTTTGAGTCTGTTTCGTTCGAGAGAGAGAGAGAGAGAGAGAGAGAGAGAGAGAGAGATAGAGGGGGGTGGGGTAATTATGAGTACATTTTAGAATTGACTGAGATGGTCGAAATAACAGGGGTCCAATTAAAGGGACATTGCAGGTGCCCTTTATTGCAAAGACATTCCCATTGATGAGCCCATCTAATGGGTTTAATTGCAAAAAATGAGATTATGGCCGAGGGGCCGTAAATAAAATGAAAGAGTTTATTTGGCATTACAGTGCACTGTAGCGGAACCACTTTTGATTTACGCTCGTTTGCTCTATTATTTGCTTTTTACGGATTGTCCGCATAGTTGAAGACCACTGTTAAAGATACTATGTCCCTTTTGCAGCCAACATCAAATTCTGTATAACTTTGCAGGAATTATGAATATGTCATGACTTATGTCCTATCTGTGAAATTTAAACGTTAGCAGTATCCTAATATTCAAATTATGCATGGAAACCCGTTTACTTGCTAGACTTCACTGTCAGACACTATTGAGTGACTGACTGGCTTTTTCTTCTTTGGTAATAACATACATAAAATGAGCTGTAAAGGATACATGAGCATGTGTCTACATCAATAACCCACTTCTTGTAATGGCCAAAATTAAACTGATCGAATCTTTGCGCAGCATGAAACGTACGACCATTCGGTACAAAGGTCTGAAAAGATCAGACTATTACTTACTGGCTCTATAGCTCTTAAGTCGATTCGACAACTAATAGTCGTTATTTTCCCACTTAAAGACATTTTCAAGCCCCCCCCCCCTTTTTTTTTTCTTTTAGGGAAGTTCTAAATTAGTATTATCTTTCAAATGCCATTGGAATTTAACCTTTTCATTTTTGGGGCCTGCAAATGGGACATAGTACCTTTAATCGTTGTCCTTCTTTTCCAAAACAAATAACCACTGATATAGCCCTATAGTTGTATACAAATCTGAACTGAAAAATCTAATGTTGAATTTGAGGTGGCGCACAGTTTCTCTGAACCCAAACATTTCAAATACGAAATTGTTAAGGATCTTATTGACCAGAATCGAAAGTCATAAAACGATTTTGCACATAGTACTTCCATTTACTTTAACAAAATAATCATAAACGACAATAATCGATAAATAACCAAAGCCATTCACCCTGGTATTAAATGTTCATCTACCACAAACATGACAAAGCATGACATATTTATTTCAAAATTCATTTGGAAAGATCCAATCGAAGGTGCAATGCAATGCAGAACAAAACAGTAATATAGGAGCAAGCAAATATCGGGCTTACAGATAATAAAACAAACAAAAAGCCGACAAGAAAACAGGAAAATTAATTTCTTTCCGCTTTCCATCATTGATCCCTGCTATGATCGTGTTTTCTTCTTGTGTTTACTAACCGAGATGTCAATGTAACTCATGTAATGAAGTGCCAATGTGACAGACTTTTTCATGCCTCGTTTCAGTCGAATACCGTGTAAGATGGAGAAAAACTGATTTGTTTGGCAACATGACTCTTTCGACCAGGCGCGGATCCAGGATTTCTTAGGAGGGGGGAGGGGGGGGGGGCCTAACTTTGAAATTTTGCGAGCCAAATATTGGTACGTAATAGTGACAACGGCAGTGGCGAAATGAGCAAAAACGTTTGGGGGGTAGACAAACAAAATCCGCATCACCCCCACGCTTACATGCAGGCTCCGCTGAACGTTTCTCTAAGTAGGTGGGGGAGGGGGTGGGAGTGGTATTTAAGATTAGGTAGAGCGTAGCGTAAATTGGCGTGGGGTCTAGGGGTGGAGCCCCCAGAAGCTCAGGGGGTATAGGCATTTAATTACGCTCAGATGAACATATTTTGATACCTTATTTGTGACACTGGCAGGTCACAAATCGGTGTGGGGACCAGGGGGCGGAGCCCCCAGAAGCTCAGGGGTTTTATATATTACATTACTGTCAGATGAGCATATATTGATACCGTATTTATGACACTGGCAGGTTACGAATTGGCTCGGGGTGCAGGGGGCAAAGCCCCCGGAAGCTCGGGGGTTTTGGGCAATAAATTACGGTCAGATGAGCATATTTTGATACCTTATTTATGACACTGGCAGGACACAGATTGATGTGTGGTAAATTACGGTCAGATGCAGGCGCGGATCCAGGGGGGGGGCCGAGCGGGCCTTGGCCTCCCCCCCCCCCCCCCGCAAAAAAAAAGAGAATGAAGGAAAAGAAGGGAAAGGGAAAAGGAGAAAAAGGGAAAGAAAGAAGAGGAAGAAGAAAAGAAAAGGGGGACGAAGGAGGTCGGGGGGCCGAAAGGGCCTTGCCTCCCAGGCTGTTAACCCCCCCCCCCCCGCCCCCCCCCCCCAATCAAAAAAATAAGAGAAAAGGAAGGAAAGGGAAAGAAAAAAGGAAAAGAGGAGATACTGGCGTACTGATAGAGGGGGGGGGGGGCTTGGGGTAATCAAATTCAAACGTGGTTTATTTCTAATTCCACAACGGTGGATTACAAATAATGCTGAAATGACATAATTTCCGAAATTTTTCCTCACTTTTTAGTAAATTATACGTTTGTACATGTATGTGTTTGTTGGAAAATGACAAATTCCTAAATTTACAGCCAGGCAAAAAATATGATTCTTGAGATTCCTACATGTCAGGGCCCGAGGTACGGCGGGGATCGAGAGCCTCGAGCCCCCCCCCCCCCACAAAAGTATATTAAAGAGAAATAAAATAGAATGAGAGCAAGAAAGTAAGAATAGTTAACTGCCAGTGTTAACAAAATAATGAAGCATCAAAATATGCTCATCTGACTGTGATTACATGCCTAGGGGCATGCCCAGGGGCTTTGCCCCCTGGATTCCATCTAGGGCCCTACAGCGGGCCCTTAGATGATCATCTGACGGTAATTTAATGCCTAAAACCCCTGATTTTTTGGGGCTCCGCCCCCTGGACCCCACGCCAAATAGTGACCTGCCAGTGTCACAAAATAATAAAGTATACAAAAGAATATGCTCATCTGACCTTAATTAACGCCTAAAACCCCTGAGCTTCCGGGGCCGGCTCCGCCGCCTCGACCGCACCAGGGGCCCGTGAATGCTTATCTGACCGTAATTTATTGCCTTAAACCCCTGAGCTTGCGGGGTCGGACAAGGTATCAAGATGTGTTTATCTGACCGCAGGCGCGTAGCCAGGGGGGGGGGGGGCGCCCCCCCCCCCCCAATCGGAGGAGGACGTAGGAAGAAAAAGGAGCAGACAAAGAACATCTTTGAAATTCAGACAAGGATTAAGAGTATAGAGAACGGTACAACGCATCGTTTTCTTTCTCTAATAATAAAACGTCAAAGCCTCGCGCAGGACCGGGGGACTGAATTGAGACGAGGATTCAGAGGCGAGAACGGTAATACGAATCTTTAATGATTTAATGAAACGTAAAAGCTTCTGCGCTTCGCGCGGGATGGAGGGGGAACTAAATTCCGATGAGGATTATTTTCGAGAATGGTACAACGAATCGTCTTCTTCTCTAATGATTAAATGAAGATTAAAAGCTTCCGCGCTTCGCGCGGGCGGGGGGAACCTGAATTCAGACAAGGATTAAGAGTCGAGAACTGTACAACGAATCGTCTTCTTTCTCTAATGATTTAATGAAACGTAGAAGCTTCCGCGCTTCGCGCAAGAGGGGGAGGGGGGAGGGGGGGACTGATTTTAGACAAGGATTAAGAGTCGAGAACTGTACAAGGAATCGTTTTCTTCCTCTAATGATTTAATGAAACGTAGAAGCTTCCGCGCTTCGCGCAAGAGGGGGAGGGGGGGGAGAGAATTCAGACGAGGATTAAGAGTCGAGAACGGTACAACGAATCGTCTTCTTTCTTTAATAGTTTAATAAAACGTCAAAGCTTCCGCACTTCGCGCAGGGGGGGGGGGGGGAGGGGGGGATGAATCAAGACAAGGATTAAGAGTCGAAAACAGTATAACGAATCGTCTTCTTTATCTAATAATTTAATGAATCGTAAAAGCTTCCGCGTTTCGCGCGGGAGGGGGAAACCTGAATTCAGACGAGGCAAGGGCCTTTTGGCACCCCCGAACTACAACTTGTTGGCGGGAAAATTGCAACTGATATCCCCCTTCTTTTCTTGTTTCATTCCTTTATCTCTTCTTAATCTTTTCTCTTTCCCTTTTCTTCCTTCTCTCTTATTTTTTGATTGGGGGGGGGGGGGAGGTAACAGCTGGGGGCAAGGCCCTTTCGGCCTCCCCGATCTCCCTCTTTTCCCCCTTTACTTTTCTTCCTCTTCTTTCTTTCCCTTTCTCTCCTCTTTTCCTTCTTTTCCTTCTCTCTCTCATTCTCTTTTCTGGATCCGCGCCTGACTTTCGACAATTTCCGCGTCATTCCACTTTGTTCCAGCCATGATCCTACAAACAATCTCAGACAAGTCAGTGTGTTAAATGCCTCCCCCTCCCCCCCCCCCCCATTTTTAAGCCACCAATCACTGAATACTTGTACAAAACAATTGGGAACAATACTTTCCCTCTCAATTCTTGATAAATTGCTCCCAATAAAGAAAAACACAGTAGATTCACATTGTTTAAACCTATTCTAAAGATGAAAGACAATTAATGAATAATTCTGTAAACTAATAAATAATAACCTCTTGCCAATATATTACTGTATTAAACACCAATCATTCAAACCACTGCCAAACTCACAAATCCTCTCTCCTAAGTCTCCAACTTAAAATGCTAACAGAGCTCTAAATTAATACAACTCACTCAGTGTAAGTCCATTGCAGCTCTGCATGTGTTTTATTGTACATGTAGCATGCATCTCCAAGGCCCCTTGTGTCCTTGGTAGATGGCATAATCTCAATGCGTGCACATCACAGACCGAGTTCATTCGACCAGAATACAACTGCCCGATATTGATACATCGATAAAAAGTTTCTAGATGTTTAATAACAGCACTATCAGATAGGATCGACGGGGAAGTCTCTTCTCTCAATGCGCTTAAAATACACTCAGCTAAACAAAAACACATACTGTTTCATGCTTACAGATTTGTACAGTTGAATTCCATTCAACAACAAAATAATTACTATTAATATGATATTATTTCCATAAAGTTTCACGTAAATACTGAACGTAAACATGAAAATAAAAAGAATACAAATATTTTAATAATTAACAAATATAACTAGAAAAATGACAAAAAAGTCACTTATTGGTCGGGAATTGGAAATCCAGAGACAGTAGAGGTACACGAGTTTGTCCACCATTTATCCCAAGCGTTTACCATAGGTTTCTTTTCCCCGTTTCCTATTTGATCACGCTCGGCTTCCTCATCTGTTAAAACCCGATGAACAACACTGGCACAAAGGCTCTGGGGTTCCAAGTTTGAGAACTGTATATGAGACGTCACAGACCCTTCCTTCTTCCATTCAAAATACTGATTATACAGATCATCATTTTCACTGAGCTCCACCAAGTAAGCTGCAAGTTTCGCTATAGATGGGAAGTCTTGAACAAATATGAACGAATTCGGTGGCGCAACTTTGAGATAATCTTCCTTTGGAGCTCCAAACACGATGGGTACCAAACCCAGAGTAAGCGAATTGTACCAAAATTTCTCCGTGATATAATCCTCACATTCGGAATTTTCGAGGGCTAGATAAAACCTGTATGTCTGCAGACCACAGGTACCCAAGTCCTTGCAAGGATGCCAACCGCATGGGCCATACTTGTCGACGCTAACATATCGCGACAAGGCGTTCACAAACCCTGTACGATCATAGGACAGCGTAGAAGGGTTACAGTTGGTAGATACCCAAGCGACCATTCGGGTTTTATCTGCCGCCCAGTTCCCGGTGTCATTCTTTTGGACCGAGGGCGTTTTCCTATCAAAATGACCATATCCACCCTCAGACAGATAGGCATCTTTGTTAGTTGCCCCCTTCCGATATGTCATGATGTAATCATACGTTGTATTGGTATACTCTGGTAGTGGGATTACCCGATGGTGGGTGTGCCGTGGGCTCTCCGATGTCCAGAAAACCCATTTCTGCCTCTTTGATTGATGCTCCAGCAGTTCGTGCCAATCCCAGTCGGACTTGTAAAACAGAAACACGACATCACTAGCAGCAAGGTCAGTTAAGTTTCGTCCATGTTCAATCTGTACACCGCAAGAGAGGCCGGGGCAGGAAAACCGTCCGACTTGCTTGAAGATGAGATTGACATGAAATGTATCACGTTCATCTAACCAAGTATAAACCACTTTATAGCACGATGGATTAGTTCCTACCTCAGACTCGTTAAATGTGTTATCTGCTCTCCGTACAACTAGGCTATGAATCACTCCATCGTCGTGATTGAAAAAATTATTCAGCTTTGGCATAGGAACCGACATGACCTGAGGATGAGACAGCAAAATGGCAATCCATATTGCCTGAATACCCAAGAATAAGATGAAGAAACATATTTTCCTCTTTAACTCCATCGTCATTACACCGGCACAGTAATATTTGAAGAAAGTACCACAGATACCATAGAATGAGAGATACAACTTGACGTATTCTGCCGCATTGCTCTAGTCGAGTCTAGTGCACATCAAAGACTCGGAATATAACGGCAGTCAGGTAAAACATGGACCTATAAGGGAGTTTACAGATAGCACATGTAATGACCCCACATATCCACAGATCTTTTAAACATGGAGAAGTTCCACTTTGAGCATCTTAGAATAATAACTGCCAAAGTCCTAGATGTGCTTCATGAATACCTTTTGTTTGCCCTCTTAAAAAGAATACTTACACCTGCGTATCTTAGAATGTACCGTTGGTGCATAAATGAATAATGTTACATAACTTTCATGAGCGCATATCCAGTATTCATCTCTGGTGGGTTTTACCTTTTTGGTACAAATGACCTTTATCTGCCCATGCGCAGATTGTATCTGTAAACTCCCTTATTACGGATGGACATTCATCATTTTCTTAACGAATTCATTGTGATTGTCTCCGTCACTGTCGTCTCAATAGGGACTTTTAGATTTGCACGTTGACAGCTTTGACTGCAACGTGTGACGTCATTTTAAGGCACTGCGCATGCTTCACGTCGTCTCAGTCGGCGATCGAAAATGCGTCAACCTTGATTTTCCTAAATCTAGTACCGGTACTAGTATATATGCCGCGTGCGCATAAAATATACAGTTCCTCAGGTAGACAAAGGAACATCCCTTCCCTGCTATTATGTAAAAATGTGTAGAACAGGTGTCACATGCATATTCACCTGTTCTACACATTTTTACAAATAGCAGTGGAGGCATGTTTTACCACAGCAATAGGCCATTTTCGTAATGTAACCAAATTTGATGCATAAGTCTTTGTGTAGTGCCTCAACACAAATTATTTCATTCACCTGATAAGAATAATAGTATTTCAATAGACAGAATCCGAACTGCAGACATAAGTTGTTGCCAGGTTGGACAAACATGATGGATTGGCCTACTATAGCAACACTTAATATATGCAGTTGCATTCTGTCTATTGAAATACTATTATTCCTAACAGGTGAATGAAATAATTTGTATTGAGGCACTTCACAAACACTTATGCATTAAATTTGGTTACATTACGAAAATGGCCTAGTGGGTAGAATGAGGAACTGTATATTTTGTCCTCTTTCTTTGTCATCTGCATGTATGTATATCGTCGAGTGCAATCTAAAAGATTTCTAATTGTAGTCAACATGAGCAGTTGTGTATGTTGACACGCATGATCAGTCGGCGTTCGTCGTGTTCTCGTCCACTCAATCTAAAAGTCCCTAATAACATTCCGTACAGCCCCAACATAGCACCTGAAAAAGCTCTCCGGTCGCTGCTGAGATAATTATGACGTCACATGTTAAACATGATATGCACAAGCAGACGATGTCCCATGACATCTCACACGGTTTCAATGCCTGTTTTGTCATCTTTTCTTCAGTTATTTCTCTTACTTCAATACCCTCAGGCGAAATGTTTAATCTATTGCCTCACTCTAAACCCCGTGCATGGTATCATTTTGATGAAAAATGCAAGGATTAAAAAAAAAGGAATCCGTCGCTTGTAAACAAAATAAGACGCCATTGTATTTACAGCTGCATACACCGCGGCATGTTCGGCGTTTCAAGAGGGAACAAATGACGTCCATGCTATCATTCCGGAGGTTTTTTAATTTGAAAGTGTGGTTTCTTTGATTGTTCATTAACCCCTATCCTGTGTATTTACAAACAAAATAATTTAGTTATCAGAATGGGGGTCATATCAATTTTTGAATGGTGTAAAATTCCATCACATTTATATACACTAAACTCATATAACTTAAGAAATAAAAGCATTGCAATTATGTTCATTATTTATGGGATGACGTCTGCTTGGGCAGGGTTGGTTCATATTGTGACGGCATGAAAACATCATTATTTTCCGGCGAATCTCTCGCATATCCCATATGCTATGGAGGTTGTTTTATTTGTATTTTATACATCACCCGATATGTAATTGACCTAAAACTTGCATGATGGCCATCTGTTAGCTTACCAGTTTCTAGTAATACGCTATCTACCATATTTGTGATTTTCTATGAACCCGCACATTAAAATCACGGAAATGCATGTGCAGTTGTGGCGTACATTATGAATATTGACGTATATGAAGTTTTCAATAGGAAATTAGACATAGATAACAAGAGAAACCTTTAAATTTGGCTGTAACGCAAAGATTTTAAACTTCATTTTAAACTTATCTTCTCCTTTTCCAAGGAATAGAAGGTAATAGGACAGTAAAGGATATGTATTTGTCAAAGTTTGGCTAGTCCAGATGTATGTCCACCAGTGTCCACTTCTTTAATAATCAATCTAATATCACATAAATTGTCATAATATGGGGTTCACTGCTCCTCTAACTAGTCTTAAATCACGATACTTTTCCTGGCCAAGCGAAAAGAATCTGAAGAAATGTAAAAGTTTCTTTCGTCTGTGATGGTGTGTGATTACATAATCAACATTGTCGCGTCAAATGAATGTCCTCGTCAACATCAGGTGGCGTTGGTCATGATGTGATCAAAGAAAGACTCTCATTATTCGTTCATCTGTAGTAGGGTCCATGATCATAGTGTGGTGAACTATTTTTTTTTTTTTTTTTTTCTTCTGTTTTTATTGTTTTTTCTGAAAAATTAACAGAGTAAAAGCAGCAATATAAAATATAATATCATCTTAAAACTACAAAACAGGCATGCACTCATGCACCCTTGTGGTGAACTATTTTGTACACGAGGGACAAGCCTGTGTATAACCTGTGTGTGTGTGTGTGTGTGTGCGTGTGTGTGTGTGTGTGTGTGTGCGTGCGCGCGTGCGTGTGTGTGTTTCTCTCAATGTCTTTGATTATTTATTCTTTTCTTAATCTCTCTCTGCCCTCTCTCACAACCCCATTATCCCTTTTTGCTCTCTATTCATTTTCTTCCTCATTTTATTTTCACCTCAACACTCTTTCTCACACACACTCCCCCCCCCCCCCCATCTCTATGCATACCTCCCTCCCTCTCTTCAAATCCGCCTCTCTCTCTCTCTCTCTCTCTCTCTTTCTCCATCTCTCACTCTTATTCCCCCGTCTCCATTCCTCACTCTCCTCCCTTACCCCCCCCCCCTTCCGTCTATCTCTCCACTGTTGCTCTTTCTCCCCTTTTCTTCCCTAACACATTAAATAATTCTCGCTCATACGGTCTCTCTTCTTCCCTTGCTGTCCCCCTCTGTCCGACCTCTCTCTCTCTCTTTCTCTAAAACGAAAACGTTTTCCTAATAATGCTTTTCATTTTCGCATTTTGTTACAAGAAGCATAGGCCTACAGGAATGTGCTCAGAACATTAACGTGAAAAGGTTAAAGCGTGAATAGGCATTTTTACTATTAAATCAAGAAACATTACGCAATTTTTTCTTTCTACTTTGCATAGACTTTATTAGATATGATGTAAACAGGCCTGTCAGATCCATCAAATCATTATAATAAACATGACGTCATGACATATAATATATGCCCGATTTATCAGTTGGAGTCAATGGGATATCCTTTGCCAAGACAAAGGTGTCCAGTTCGTTGTTTAGATGCCGCCCTTACCAGCACCTGCATGATAAAGACAATAATAATACAAAACAAAATGCTAGTACTTGAAATCAGAAAAGGTGACCATGACAATACATTATTACGAGGACTAGCTAAGATGACAATGGATTAAATCAACAAGTATGGCAAAAGAACTGATATATTATATGCCGGATTCATCGGTTCATAATGACGCCGACGAACGCCACGTGTGTCAATTTCGACAGACATTCAGAGCGCTATAAAAGAACCCGTTAATATTTTTCTCTTTGTTTGCCCCAATGATAGCGGTTGAAAAAGTAACTACAAAGCTCTTGGCTCTTTTTATATATAGTTCTTTCTTTTACAGTCTGAATTAAGATTTTACCTGACAAACAGGGGTTTGATTTGGTCAATGAGAGGCTGTCATTATAATCTATTCCCGACAGGCAGCCAAACATTTCAAACAAATGAAATTGATAAATTTAAAGTGTATACTTATCTCCTAAACAGGTAATTGGTATATTAACAGCAGGAACGTTTAAAATCAAACTTTAAAATAAATCAATAAAAGAAGCTTCATCCCGATCTCTATCGGCTAACGGATAATAAGTATTAAGAAAATAAAAAGTAACATACGGGCTGTACTAGGGATTTTTAAATTTGTACGTCGACACAGTGGACTGCTACGTGTGACGTCCTTTTTAAGGCAATGTGACGTCCTTTTAAGGCAATGTGACGTCCTATTAAGGCACTGCCAGTGCCTTAAAAGGAAGTCCCATGCAGCAGTCCACTATGTCGACGTGCAAATCTAAAAGTTCCTATTGTATGCGAGCGCGTACAGGTACGTCGAGAAGTCTACTCATATGTGTATTGAGAGTGTACTTAAACTGGCAAAATCTATTTATAGAAGTGAAATCTACATCTTATATTTAGGAAAAAGCATAAGGACACGGAACTACTAACATACAAAACGATCGGTAGACTTTGAAGGGATCCGGTAACATTGTCTCAGATTCTGAAACAAAATCCTTGATTTAGCTCATGCTGCAATGATAATTTTAAACCTTTAGGTCATTCAGGAACCCCATGATTTTTACAAGCCGATCGCTTGTCTGATTATCAAGATATTTATGATTGGAAATCGAAACCGAATTTTGCGTTTTCCTAACGATTTTCTAACACTACAGTCTATTGGGGAAAATGATAAAAACCGGTCACTCAAAGATATTTACTTTTTTGAGGCACTACTTGATCATTTGTTTAGGGCTTCAATATTACAACATATCACAGACACTGATAACACGTAGAGCCGTGCATCTCAGATTTAACATTGTTAAACGATGCCTTTGAATTCAAGTTTTTAAAAAGAATGAAATGAATGTGATTTACCACCACAGAAGACGACCTTGTTCTTTCTCCTAGTACACCAGCAACCAGGGGCGTTGGAACAAGCTAGAGAATGGAGAATAATGATGATGGTGATGGTAATGATAGTGGTGGTGGTGGTGGTGGTGGTGGTGGTGGTGGTGGTTGGGTAGTGATGATGATCATGGTGATAAGGATCAACATGATAATAATATAGTAACAGTGACATTACTACTACATGTACTAGTCCGGCTACTACTACCTCTACTATTATACTACTACTTCTAGGCCTACCGTCACTACTACTACTACTACTACTACTACTACTACTACTACTACTACTACTACTACTACTACTACTACTTTTACTACTACTACTACTACTACTACTACTACTACTACTACTACTACTACTATAACTACTAACTTGATCGCAAATACTTTCGAAAAATCAACCTTGGGCAATCTCAATAGCCTTCTGTGTCACCTATCAAAATGTACGAATATGACAATGAGGTATTACATAATCCGAACATGATTTTTATGGGACATACAATAGGGTACTGAAAAGTATCCTGGGCATCGTTGCACAAAACTTACCGTTGATGGTAACTTTGCCATCGATGGTAGCTACCATGGAAACCTTGATTTTGACTGGCTGTTGAGCCCTGTTACCATGGTAGTTGCTATAGATGACAATGGTCAGTATCATGCAACGGGGCCTAAGTAGCTTTTTTAGAAAATATTTGCGAACTTTTCTAACTCTAATACTTCTACTTATGATGATGATGATGATGAATATGATGGTAACAACAATAATAATAATAATAATAGTAATAATGATATTACAATAATAATACCAATAATGATCAGATGATGATGATGATGATATTACGGTCGTAATACAAAGGATATCCTCGACAATATTGATACTTATTTAAACATATTTGTGGCATACACCCAGTAAATAAGTAAATAAGATCGATTGATCGATCTGTATTTATGGTCCAATCGTTGTCAAGTATCAATCAATACCCCTTTAACAAAACTTCGAAATAACAAACTTTCGGAATTGCGATTAACGAACCTTCTGTAATATTATTTTTTAGTTGGGGGGGGGGGACCGGCATGTAAGCAGTAACACGACTCACCTTTATATTTCCCCATGGTTCTTCCTCTTTTATCCTCTAACAAAAGGTCCTGCATGAACGGATCCCTCTTCATGAATTCGACATCAGCGGCGATTTCGTCCTCGGTTGGGTCGAACTCGAAAGCCATGGCGACGACGAGCAATGCAGCAAACACGATAACAATCTTGGAAGACATGTTGGACAGGGCTTTTGACGTAATCTATATGGTTTTAATAAATAGGAAATGTGAATGTTAAACATTTCTGTACAGCTCTCCTTTGGTTTTGCCTTAAACGTATCACGCTCTCTCTCTCTCTCTCTCTCTCGCTCTCTCTTTCTAACTCTCTCTCTCTCTCTCTCTCTCTCTTTCTCACTCTCTCTTTCTCTCTTTCTCTCACTCTCTCTCTCTCTCTCTCTCTCTCTCTCTCTCTCCCCCTCTCTCTCTCCCTCTCTCTCATTACTGAAATGGTAATACTTTGGTCTTATTAACCCAGGGTAGCTACATGAGCATTAAAGGGATCCGGTAACTTTGTCTCAGATTCTGAAACAAAATTCTGGATTTAGCTCATGATGCAATGATAATTATAAACCTTTAGGTCAGTCAGGAACCCCCTGACTTTTACAAGCCGATCGCCTGTCTGATTATCAAGATATTTATGACTGGAATTACAAATTTTGAAAACCGTTCGCCTGACGGTTTTCATAACACTACAGTCTATTGGAGAAAACGAGTATGGTAAAACCGGTCACTCAAAGATTTTTACTTTTTTGAGGCACTTCTTGATCATTTTGAAGCGCAATTTTTTTGGGGGCTTCAATATTACACCATATCACAGACACTGACACATTGACACACGTAGGGCCGTTTATCTCAGATTTAACATTGTTAAACGATCCCTTTAAAGCTGCTTTTCCTGCGGGCCCTGTAATTATTATTACCAAAGCATTGTCAGGTACCCATGTAATACACCTATAGGCAAAAGACCATGTCCATTAAGAATGTAAACATTAAGCAGGGATCGAACCCGGAACCTCTCGTATGAGAATCAAGAGCCTTCGTCAATATATTAGTGTTCTCTCAACCCCCCCCCCCTCTCTCTCTCTCTCTCTCTTACTCTATCTTTTACAACAACAACATTTTTTAAATTTAATACAAACTTCTGAATGCCCTTTGTACTAACTAAAGGTTAAAGTTCATTTCCTCGAGACATGTGGCCATTCTTCACGTTCTCCAATTCAGCTTCGAACCCTGGATAATTATTCAACGTCCTGTCCCAAGATTACAATGATGTCTCAATAATAATAATAATAGTTCGTCTTTTTTACAGCGCATTTCAGGACCGCAGGCCCTCTCAATGCGCTTTACATTACCCCGGTCATCGGATCGATGCTTACCCGCACACAACTACTAAATAACAATTTTGTCATGCAAAGAGGGGGAAAAAACATTAAACACAGTCGCAGAGAATTTCAGGAAATCAAAGTAAGAGCAATTTAAATACCCTACTGTCATGACTGCATTGTGTCGTCTATAGAAAGCACGTTTCGATTATTTAACACGTAATTGTCATCTTTGCATGGTTTCAAAAGGTGAGAGGCAAAAATTCAATTCAAGTTTATTTCCACAATCTGATAAAAACTGACACAAAACAATAAAATGGTATTGCCTTAGGTTGATTTCTTGAAAGTCTTTGCGATCGCGGTACTGATAAACTTACCGAAATGATGTGACAGGAACAAAATCTTGCGGACAATATTCTAGTTATCTCTACCTCTCCGAGTTCCAGAATCCAGAAACACTGTTACTGACACAGATCCATCGCGGCTTTATATAGCTTTCTGGAGGTCAAGAGAATGTGCGACATAATATTTCTTTGGCCTTTATCATAATTCAGCCGAAGCGGAGCGGACAGGATGAAAAAAACAAAGAACAACACGACGTTAATTAGTTAATGTGAACTAGTCACTGTGTTTTTAATGAGAATGATCGCTGGATGAGCGATCTGCGCCAATTTTATGTTGTCGGTCTATGATCATGGTCTTCAGATTATGTAACTATAATGTTGCAGAAGTAAACGCTCAATTTCATGCACCGGAAATATTATGCGCCTCGTAGAATTTTCGTTTCTTGGTGCCATATTGCTGTTGTCCTTCCTACTTTAAGGCAAAAGTAATTGCGTTGCAACCCCCATTTCACAAAACTTGTCATCAGTGAAAAATTACAGTTTTTGTTATGGGCTAGTGAAATCCTTGCTTCTGATTGGTTATCAGCAGATTTGTCGCTGCTTTTTGTCATTTGTCATTGAAAAAAGGCTTTGTGAAACGGGTCCCAGAAAATGTATATTTTTGATACACAAATACATTCTTCAAATTGCTAATTTAACAAACTTTCATACATTATGTCATTCAACAAAGTTTTAACTCAAGTCCTTCATTTTTGGACATCTTTCACCTTGGCATCCCTTTCCATTTTCTTTTCTGTTTGTCTGTCTCCCTCTCTCTCTCTCTCTCTCTCTCCTCTCCTTCCATGGTATTATCCTTTACTCTCTCTCTCTCTCTTTCTCTCTCTCTCCCTCTATGTCTGTCTATCTCTCTTCCTCTCACGATCTCCTTGATCGCTACATGTATTTTACCCGTACATATATATACATTCTCTCCTCTTTTGTTGATCCTCTCTCCCTCTTTCTTTTCTTCCCCTTTTATCTCTCCATCTCATTACCCGCTTTATTCATCCCCCTCTCTCTCTCCCCCACCTATCTCTCTCTCTCTCTCTCTCTCTCCCCCACCTCCCCTCTCCCTCTCTCTCTCTCTCCCACCCCTCCCTCTCCCCCTCTCTCTCTCTCCCCCACCTCCCCTCTCCCCCTCTCTCTGTCCCCCACCTCCCCTCTCCCCCTCTCTCTCTCTCCCACCCCTCCCTCTCCCCCTCTCTCTCTCTCTCCCCCACCTCCCCCTCTCCCCTCTCTCTCCCTCTCTCTCTCGCTCCACCACTGTACACTCCATTCACGCCTTATTTAATCAAAAATAATCATAAGCTTGTGTTTTTCATCAGCATGTTTCATTTACTGTTTTAGTCCCCATAGTATACAGATTATGCATAGCAAGAAATTGTTCATAATATGACATATTTGCATAAATTAATATATAATGAGGTGGTTATCTGCTATTTCCTACTTAGTCTACGTAACACTCCAAAACATTTTATATATTCACATCGATTTAATAAAATACAACGAGGCTAAAGTAAATCCAATGTAATGAATGAAACTGTTACATATTATACTGATTTTAAAACCTACTTTAGACCAGCGAAAAAAGAGAGAATTATAAATGTATTTTAATGCGCATGTAAAGTATGCATACCATATAAACGATTATTTGTTTGTTTGTTTGTTTGTTTGTTTGTTTTATCCACGGTTAAAACACCTGCTATCAGCCACAAGGCTGTTTTTCAGCAAGTCCGTTAAAAAATAAAACATTCACACAATATACATAAACAAAACAAATATAATTCATAATACAAATTAAAATAACAAGAATTAATGTGGAAATAACTCTTAATAACAAGAATAGAGTGTACACTACAATTTATCATTTGCCAACACAAATTGAATATGCATTTGCATGTAGTATCATGCTGCAGCTCCTATCTCATTCACCAAGCGCTTTGTTATTACGGTACAGAATGTGAAGCGTACTATTCTTTACGTCATCATAATTTTTGTTTTAATCCTCCGCGGTTTTGCCGCGGTATATCTGAAGGATGTCTAACATAATTATCAAATAACTCTGAGTGTACATGTACGTATTACCTATTAAATACCAGTACCATTATTACACTTACTGGAAAACAGAAGACATACAAACACGTCCTTTTCTTGTCAAACTAAAATATATACATTGTAAAAGGACCTCTCAAGTAACTCCATTTGTACTCCCTAAAAAAGGTATGATAGCACCTTACCTATACGTTATAATTGCCAGCGAAAGTAAAGATTCAATCAACAACTTAATGAATTCACAATGAAGAGTTTAGTCCATGTTATAATTTTATACATATCGTTGATAATGTTTGATTATTGAAATTCAATACAACGGCTGATAGATTTTAGTTTCAAGAGCCATAACGTCGTTTAGAGGAAATATACTTAGGCCTACTTATACCACTTTAGGAATATAAATATATAAAATACTTATTCGATTATATTATGCCCATTGAATGTATTATTCCCCTTGGAAACGAGGCATCATTTGGAATTTTTAGATTTGCACGTCGACTTAGTGGACTGCTACGTGTGACGTCATTTTAAGGCCCTGTGAAACCTTTTAAGGCACTTCCATTGCCTTAAAAGGACGTCACACGTAGCAGTCCACTATGTCGACGTGCAAATATGAAAGTCCCTATTGGCCTGACGTAGGACTGCGTCAGTGATTGGTATGGCCTGTGATCTGCTGTGTGAGGATGACATCAGATACGAGTGACTGCAAAACGAACATTGTGTTGAATTATTGGCGTATGCGCTAATTATCTTACATGCTCGATTGGCGTAGTAAATAACGTAATCGAAGGGACACCTCAGATGTAACGGTCGTATTTAAAACACCATGTGTCATCATACGCTCATTGTAACCGTAATACACGACGGAGTGTTATGCCTCAGTCACACCTTTGCTTATTTGGCTTGCGTATTGCTGCGTATTTATGGCAAGCCGTTTTAACATAATATTCCTATTTCTTGATATAAAGAAATGATTTTCTGTTGTAAAGCAATGGTAATTCTTGATATCAAGATATAGGAATAAATGTTAAAACGGCTTACCATAAAAACAAAGCAATACGCAAGCCAAATACGTAAAGGTGTGACTGGAACATTAGCCAAGTATGGTTACAGGTCACTTCATTCGGACAGGGGTTAAAGTTCAAAGATACATCTTGGTTAATGAACGTCGTCCAACGAATTAGGCGCCACTTTTTCGACCTAGGCACTTCTGATTACCGATATTCTTAAATACGCATATGCACGTAAATAACATTATTCTGGTCTTTACATATTTGTAATCATCTTGCCGATTGTACAAGAGACATAAATTTGATTGTGTTAATATGTGCTCCAATCGAGCTGAGAAGACAATTAGCGCAAATGTTGGTTGATAAAACTATTAGAACTATTCACTATCCGATCCCTTCTTGTACACGTCTTGTACACTATCTCTCTCTCTCTCTCTCTCTCTCTCTCCCCCCCTCTCTCTCTCTCTCTCTCCCCCCTCTCTCTCTCTCTCTCTCTCTCATGTAGGGCGAATGAGAAGACGCCACCACTCGCAATGACGCCGTCTTACGTCAGACAAACGACGCCTCGTGTTGCAACAGCAATGCGTTTATGCAGCTTGAATGTGCGTGATAGACAGTGTACACCTTTCCGTAAATGAAAAATGATGTCGTCAATGTTGATTAATTGATGACATTGAGGTGACTTTGGTGAAGTGACGATACGATTCATGCACCATAAATGATGTTGATAGTGATGTCGACAGCTGCAAATCCACATCACGATAACATTGCGAATAACTTATCAATGATGGCTAGATTTTTAGGATCCCATAATCTAACCGGGTTATCCTGTCATAATGTTATGTATTTGATTTCCTTGAACAAAATGTACAAAATGTAAACAAAATTTGTGCTTAAAATGTATTCACTCTGGATAAATCAAATCAGATAAAAATGAAAGCGAATCAAGTTTATAATGGAAACGATCGACTCAAGTATGCAGCCACTGACAACGCCGTAGCGAGCCACGCCCAACGATAGTTGCTATAGTAACGGGACACACCCATCGACTCCATGGTATTGGTGGCTACTTCTCTGCCGGTGTACTTGTTACAGAAATCATCTCGACAGCAAGCTTTGCAGTTACCAGAATGAGCGAGCTCACGGCATGTTGATTCCTCTGTGCAGTCGAATTGCCGCGTGCAGTCGCGTTCAACGTAAACATGAAGCCCGGCAGCCGTCATTATTTCCGTCTGAAAGTCAAAAGAAAAAATTATATCAAATATAAATTATGTTTCAAGTTATCAGACCGATAATATAGAAAACAAATGTTTGTAGAAGTTAAAAACCCAGACCTATTATGTAAGCGGATTTTGCTGCATTATACTTACCTAATCTAACTGAGATCTGAATGACATGAAACATTGTAGGATAATTTTATTTTTTTATATTTTTTTCCCAAATAAACTTTGTCCCCGGTCCATGCATGTCCGAAATCTAAAGTACGGGTAATATGTTTTTGCATATCTTCCCCGTGAAATTAAAGGGGGGGGGGGGAATCTATTCCGTTATAATAAAAAAGAGTATTTCTATTTACTTGATAATATTATGCACGCCTTACAAGACAAAACATAATTATGAGAAGTAATTTGATGACATCACACATAATTATGTATGTATGAGAATTGTGCATTGAAAATGTTCACGTTATCAATGCTCTCGATATCATTAAAAACCCTTTCATCGGAGTTCCGTTTCTCTGATTATAAGCTTCTAATGAAGTCATCCATTATCATAATTCATGAGGATCCTATATTCGCCTATCAATCTGAAACCCCGTCGACAATTTCAAACAAGCCATTTTTTCAAGAAATGCAGAATAAATCAATAAAAACCTGTGAAGTTATGAGAGTACATGATTTATTACTGTGAGCTATTCAAAGGCTGACTTAGGGATTAGAATCTAGATACGGTTAAAACTGTGATTTTTGTCATAATACGGCTCAGTATAGTATACAGTGTGAAATATCATGACGCGTGTCTTCATCAGCTCGAGATTGCCAAATAGCCCGCTATTTCTGATTTGGGCGAGTTTTCGGGCTGGTGAAAACGCACCGGACAAATAGGGGGATATTTTGCAAACTATCACAAGATATCGTGGGATATATCCCGACCAAATATCCCGCTAATTGCAACTTCGGGCTGATGAAGACGCAAACTAACTGGATAATTTGCGATCGGAATAGAAATAGCGAAATATTTGGCAATCTCGAGCTGATGACAACAGGCCTATTGGGGAATCGGGTTGATGAATGCATATCAAAGAACTAAGTATTCATGACACAAAAGCTGTATAACTTCACGAGCGGTGCATCCACGGCATACTGAATACCGCAGCCACACCGATTAAAAAACCGATGCCATTCGGAGTAAAATGTTCACTCGGTGTGTTTTCGGTTTTGGTGTCGGTTTCGCTGGTGTGACCGGGGGGGGGGGGGGGTATGATACCTCACAGAAATCATCAATATTTCAGTAACCCGCTCGTGGGGCCGGGGCGGGGGCATGTAAGTGATAAAACCGAGGTGACGCCGCATATATTGAAAAAAGGCTCGTGAATAGAATGATAATATTTATATTCTGTTGAAAGGTAATATAATTATGGTTTCTGTACATTTGGAAGGTTTTATTGAAAGGTTTCAATAAAAAATGCCATAATCACAGCCCTAAGACTGTAACAATCAGTTGTTTAAAAAAAATATATACAAATTAACAAAGAAAGGGGCTACAACAAAATAAAATACATAAGTATTTATTAAACTTGGAGGTGCTTTTCATTACGGTACAATTGAAAACATTCTTGCTAAACTAAGCGAATGAAATCGGAGTGCAAGAGGAATTTTAGGTAAAGGATTCAGGTCAATTTCCTGTAGCCATGGTCAGTACGTTGTATGTGTGCTCTGACAAATACAAATACAAAAGTAAAGCAATACCTTTGTAAATTGTACGGGGGAATTGGCATTTATTTAGCAGTTATCAACATATTTGGCAAGCACAAACACAAACCTAACATTTCTTTGTTGGGAGTGGTTGGATGGGGTGGGAGGGGGTGGATACGTGGGACACATTCCCTGTGTGCCCTGGATGTACCCGTACTTCTTTTTTATCGATATTATGTCCCGACAAAGATCTAATGATGAAACTTTGAAAATTATGGAATCAATCGAAATGCGTTTTGAATAAAGGGCAATGAATGGTATGGTACAAATAGTTAAAAACATATTGAGAAACAAATCAATATAGGCCTAGGTGAAACTTACGTAGCAGTATGTGTCACATTCAATGCTTTCAAGGTCACCAGGGGAAAGGTCACAGGTCGAGTTTGAGGATAACATGGACATGCACCGGAAGCACTTGAAGCAAGTTGAATATCCGAATAATCCTGCATGTTAGGAATGATTGAAACGACAATAAATTTTGTTAATGAGACTATAAATTGAAAAGAGCCAAAAGCATTTAATTTGCAATCTCTGATTGAATAATAACAATATTAATAACAGTAAAATTTATTGATGATGATAATAATAATGCTAATAATAATTTAAATAAATATAATAATAATAATAATAATAACAGCAACAACATCAACAACAATAATAATAATAGCAATAAATAATTAAATAGTAAACACACAGGAGATTCTGAAATTATGTGCGGGGTAGCTTACCATACTGCCCCTACCCCCCCCCCCCCCCAAAAAAAAAACCCTCCTCGACGTCCTTGATAATCAATTATTTAAACAAAATTATTGAATAAGTGCGTGAAAAGCTTGTAATTATTACATACAACTGTTTTCCCCATGTTCATTAACAATACGCATTTATGTTGAAAAAGAGGGACAGGATAATTTGTCTCAAGCACTTACCCACGAAAACGATCCAAAACAGCGGTAAGAGTGCTCCGAATATCATCTTAAAGATATGAAAAACATCTGTATCAGAAATCCGTAGCCTTTAATGAAATCCTCGCAAGTCCAGCTACCTTTTAGATGAGAAATTAATTCATTGATACTGCGTTGCATCACTGGGAGATATGCAGACGACACGGACGCTATATAGCTATCGCGATAGCCCAGCGAAGCTCTGTGAGAGGAATTCTTTGGCGGGGTTTTCGTATTAGCATGGAATGGACATCATGTCGTCACTCGTTCATTGGAAGTGGTACGTGATGACGTCGTGGTCGAGTCTCCGGGGGATCTAGCGACACCTTACTTCCGAACATTGGCGGCATGGCCGGTAGCGAACTGCACTACTTCAACAAAAACAACAACATCGGTGGCGACTAATGAATAAACAATTTTAAGCGAGTGGGCCTAAAATGTGAAATGATGATTTTTCACAAGATGGCAATTTTTGTTTGCCTACCGAGTGTCATTCTAGTGAAGTTGATATTTTGTGCATTGGCCTGGGTAGCACTATTGAGCTTATGATTAATCTTCTTTCATAAATATATATATATATCCAAGCAAAACTACTCTACTACTACTACTCCTACTACTACTACTACTCCTACTACTACTACTACTACTACTACTACTACTACTACTACTACTACTACTACTACTACTACTACTACTATTTCTACCACCACTACTACTTCTGCTGCTACTACTACTACTACTACATGTATTACTTCTACTATTACTTCTACTACTACTACTACTACTACTACTACTAATACTACTACTACTACTACTACTACTTCTACTGCTATATCATACTACTATAAGTACCATGATACAAAAATAACAATGTATGGCCCTATGTTGAGACAATGCATAAAACAACTATATACTACTACAAATCATGTCAGGTACACGCGTAGGCAAGATAATCGTTAGTCTTCATACATTTTTCATTTTAACGATATACCGTTCCATCGTCATCAAATTTAAACAAGACGGGAAGCAGTCTCGTCTATAGAGCCGGATATGTTTTGTAGATCGTATGGTGACCATGGGTATGTGAACATTAAGGCGCATGTGTAAGAAAGAAACCGCGGGGGGGGGGGGGCTGGTATTATTATTCTTTTAAAGGGGGCGTCGTATAAAATGAAATGGAAAGTACCTTTTTTAAATGATAATGATATATTAATATGCTTGAAATTAATTTCTCGATTGATTTAGAGATAACATCAATGCTCTTGTAACAATGTGTTTCGATAGTCAGCTTTGGTGTGTTATATGGATGCGTTTTAAGCGTCATATCTCCAGTTCCAAAAATATGACCTTTCACGGGCCTTTGACTGGGCAGGAAATATAAGGAGAGAGAGAGGGGGGGGGGTGTATATGGGGGAGGAAGAGAGAGGGGAGATAGAGAAGGGGGAGTGAAAAGGGGGTGGGTTGGGGAAGAGACACAGAGATGGGATGGGGAAGAGAGAGCGAGAGAGGGAGAGAGAGTAGGAGAGAGTGATAGAGAATAGAGATTGAATTTGAGTCAGAGAGAGAGAGAGGGGAGAGGGAGACGGGAAGGGAAAGAAAAAAGAGACAGAGAGAGGTGAGAGAGTGGGATGGGGAGAGAGAGGGGGTAGATCAGTAGAGAGAGAGAGAGAGAGAGAGAAGAAAGATACTCATTATGTAGAGATTAACCAACACGGCAGAGGCTAGATTGTATTCAGTATGCTAAGGAAAGAAAGGGACTTTATTTTAAAACCCCACCGGACCCGCTCAGCCAAGGATCATGATTATTTCATCATTATTCATTATTCAACTATTCCACCAGGGCGAGTTAATAATACAAAGACCTAGACAGTCATATCCATTCCAGGATAATGCTGTCCTCCCAAATGGTTTGAAGAATAGATTAACCTATGGAAGAGTGGGAGTAAGAGGGGAGAGGGTGAGGGGTGAAAGAGAGGGGGATATAAAGGGAAAGAGAAAGAGAGAGAGAGAGAGAGAGAGAGAAATAGACATACATGCAGAGTGTAATTAGTGAGGGGAGAGATGGTGAGAGAGAGAGAGAGAGAGAGAGAGAGAGAGGGAGAGGGAGAGAGGGAGAGAGGGAGAGAGAGGATGGCAAGGAGAGGTTGGGAGGGAGAGAAGGAGAGAGAGGGAGAGAAAGCGAGAGACGGAGGGAGGGGGTGTGCTTGGGACAGAGAAACCAGAAGAGCAAAATAGACACGGTTGGAAAGAAAAAATGGGGGGGGGGGGGGGGGGGGGGATAGGGGGTATACTAAGAGATGGGGAAAGGAGATTGGGTAGATGGTTAAAAAGAGATGGAGAGAAAGAATGAATAGAAGGTTAAAATGAGAAAGAGGGAAATGAGTGGGAGAGAGAGGGAGAAAAAAAATGAAAAAGGGGGAAGTGTGTGAGAGGGTACAGTTTATGAGAGAGAAAGAGAGATATAGAGAGAGAGAGATAGTGAGAGAAAGAGAGAGGGAGAGAGAGAAGGGGGTTAAAGTGAAATACAATGACCGAGAACGAGAGAGAGAGAGAGAGAGAGAGAGAGAGAGAGAAGGAAAACAAAAGATGAAATGAAAAGACGGTATACAATAACCAGATACAGAACGTCTTTGGTACAGACAAAACAGACACAACCATGTATACAAGTCCACATGCACAGCACAAATTATACAGACAACGACATGTGGCAGACAGCAAACATTTACAAAATAGAATAGCTCAATCTTTTGTTTGTTGATTTGTATTTTTGAGAGAGGTAAGTAAGACATTATCATCACAATTCAACAAAGTGCTTCTATCATTTCACTTTAGTTATTGCTTCTCTCCAAAGTCACAGAAGCACAGAACCTGAATAATGATGTTGATCCTAAGAAAATTTCAAAATGTTATAGCCGACAGTTTTTTTTCTTTGTCTAATTTATTAAAGCAAATCATGAGTTGAGCGAACAGCTAACATTATCGCAATCCTCAAAGCGATAGGTTCTCGCAGTCACTTCTCTGTCATCTGGGTATTATTGTCCAAAATTGAGGTTGTAAATGTAGTTCCTCTCAAGTTTCAAATATTGATCATTCCCATTGATCAGCACTACCGCATAATCCCCTCTGGCGCCATCTCGGGTCTTCTGTAGCAGTATGGTCCCCTGACTCGCTGCTTCCCCTGCTAGTTCTCGCGTCGACTCCTCTGTCTGCGAAGTGGAACGTAGGTAAAGGGTTTACACCCTGTTGGCAAGATCATGGATGACCACGATAAGGCGCTAGTAAGCTAGGGCAGAAAGTTCATCAGTTCAGTATCGCTTTAATGCACCCAGTATCTAAGATTCTTTCCATAGGTCTTGTGCCAGGCACTTTCGGTTCTCTCTTTGAACTGGAGACAAGTAAAGGGAAGTATAACGAATGTTCTGCGATAGTCTTCTTCACCAGGATAGATTCTTTTTCGTTTCTCATCCGTCATGATGGTAAACTGGCTGTCACCTGGTCCACCTCTTTTGAAGCCTTCCTTCATCTGTAGAGAGTCACAACGAAGTACTTGTACTTCTTTAGTCCATTCTTTGAGCATCTTCTTCCAGGCCTTGAACTGCACCCGTCTTGTAGGTTCCGCTCTGTCATGGTGGCCGTCATAAGGTCCAGCTCTAGATCAGCCTTCCATACAGAAGCCAGGCGTTCCTCGTTGTTGATCCGTGCATGCTAGCTTTCTTCATTTATTTGTTCATAAGAACCGTCCTGTCATTGTTACTGTCAAACTCTAGCTCACATTGACTTGATTTGGCCTCTTACAGTTACAGTTCTCAAGGCGCTCTATCCCAAAATTTTCCTCAGCGCCTTCTTCCATGCCTGGAACTGCACCAGTCTCTTTCAACATGACGTAATGGAATCTTTGTAGTCTCTCATCTGGTTTGGTGGCTAACTGGCCATCATCAGGCCTACCTCTAGCTTGAAGCATTCCTCAGACCTAGGAGTTTATAAGGAACGCCTTGCTCAGCCGAAGCCCTCTCCAAGGTTCTTCTTCCAGGCCTGGAACTGCGCCTGTCTAACGAGACTATGTTCAGCGCTAGATTCCTTCACCAGGATGTAATGGAAACCTTGTAGGTTCCACTCTGTCATGGTGGCTGTCATTAGGTCAAACTCTAGATCAGCCTTCCTCAGAGAAGCCAGATGTTCCTCGTTCTTCTTTGCGTTGTCCTTACAAGAGAAAGAGAAGTAAATCATACTAATTTTTAGTCCGATCAAAAGTACCGAAATTTTCCTAGACAGTCATGTAATACTGTATTTTACTGGTCGAACTTACATATTACCTGACTACTATCAATGCTCTCGACATCTGTACTTCTCCCAGAGTCTTTTTGGTATAATTTTCCTTCTTGGACTCTCTGTGTGCATTTATACCTCGCATTTCCCAGGTGCATGCTGGCCAGAATTTTTGCCAGTTTTATTTAATGTTTTTAAAAAATGAACTGTAATAGAAGAAGAAAATCATAACTTTTTTCCCCCACTTACTTTCATCGCAAGAACTTTGTTGGCCACCCATACGTCATCAGCCTCTTTGATGACGTCACGTTCGCCCCACCCATCTGCAGCCATAAGTGACGTCACTTTGCTCAGAGTCTTGAGTTGTCGCTTCTCTTCCTCGTTATCACTGAAGTCGATCTCAAAAGCCACGCCTTCCTTGGTGTGACGTGTGCAACTCATGCTTGTGATTGGTCGGCTAGGTAGAGACATCTCTGGTGAAACGTCACTCTTTGCAGAGGCAACTGGATAGTGGTTGGTTGTAATCTCAAAAGCCACACCCCCTCGACTGACTTTGATGTCTGCTACCTCTGTGAGTGAGTCAAAGTTATTTGAAACCTCGAAAGCCACACCCCCGGGACGTGTCTTAAACTCAGTGATATGAGATTCTGCCTCTGTTATCTCGTATGTAGGATGATCTGCACAGAGTAATTATGATGGAGAAATTATAAAACAATAATTACGTCTGGAACTATACTTTGTAAAGTCGTGTAATTATAATTTGCATAAAGTTATGGT